CCAAGCTCCTCCCCTGTGTCAAGACTGAGCAAAGCATCCCATCATAGGAGTGTGTTCCAAAAAAGCTATTTCATGCACCTAGCATAAGTCCTGGTTCCACTGCTAGGGGCTCCCCAAACAGATCTAGCCACATAATTGTCACCCACATTCAGAGGGCCTAATTTGGTCCTATGCATGTTCCACAGCTGACAGGCCAGAGTCCATGAGCTCCCACTAGCATGGGTCAGCTGTCTCTGTGATGTTTCCCATCGTGATCTTGACCTCACTTGCTCCTGTGGTCCCTTCAACTGAAGTCTAGGAGCTCAGCCCAGCGCTTGGTTGTGGATCACCTGCATCTGCTAAGACTCCTAGCAATAATGGAGAAGGTGCCTGAACTTACCTTCCCCTATAAGGATATAGGATAATCACTATAGATTAATAACTACCCTAATTGTCATCATAGAACCTACATCCAGTAACTGATGGAAGCCTCCCTCTTTTATTCTTCTTTTGAGCACTCTATATTCATGTTCCAGGCCCATTTTTTGAAAGGGCCATTTATTTTATTTTATTTTATTTTATTTTATTTTATTTTAGTTCTTTATATATTCTGAATATTAATCCTCTGCCCAGTGTATAGCTAGGAAACATTCTCTCCCACTCTCTGGGCTCCCTCTTCCCCCAGTTGATTTTTTTTTCTTTAGCTATGGGTAAGCTGCTAAGTTTCATGTAGTCCCACTTGGCCTTAATTCTTAGCAAATTGAGTCCTATTCAGGAAGTCCTTTCTGATACCTGTATCAGGTAGGGAACTACCTATGTTTTCTTCTAGCAATTTTAGTGTTTCAAGTTTCAGGTTTAGGTCTTTGATCCATTTGAAGTTTGTTTTTGTGAAATGAGATAGACATGAGTCAAATTTTGTTCTTCATATGGACATCTAGTTTTACCAAAACATTTGTTGAAGATGCTTTCCTTTTTCCAGCATATGTTTTTGATATCTTTGAGAAATATTAAGTGACTAAAGTCCCATGTGTTCATGTGTGAGTTTTGTATTTTAGTCCATTGGTCTACATGTCTCATTTTGTGTCAATACCACATTGTTTTTATTGCTATTGCTCCATAATATAATTTAAGATCTGTAATTGCAATCCTTCCAGCCTTCTTCTTTTTGCCCAAGATTGTTTTCACTATCCAGGGTCTTTCTGGTTGCATATGAATTTTGGGATAGATTTTGTATTTCTGTTAGTAATTAGATAAGGTTGGTAGAATGGTTATTTTCACAATGTTAATTCTACTGATGCATGAGTAGAGGTCCTTCGCTTGCTGGGATAGGTTTCTTCCTAGCTATTTTATTTCCTTTTAGGCTACAGTGAATGAGAGAGTATCCATGATCTCCTTCTCTCTATATTTATTGTTGGTGTACAGAAAAGCTTTTGATTTGTTTAAGCTGATTTTGTAATCTACCACATTTGCTGAATTTGTTTATCATTTCTAGAAGTTTTTTGATAGTCTGTTCCTTTTAGAGGTTCTTCCTACATCAACTAATTTCATGCATGTTGTTGAGATACTTGCTAGCTTCTGCTTATGAGAATGATGCTTTCTGAGCTTGTTCATAGTTTGGGTGTTCCATTATATCTTTCCATCTTATTTAAAGATTTGAACCATCTTTGTATATGATCAAATTACTAAAGTTTAATGTCTATGAGGTAACTCATTTATTTCAGTTCATATATAAACTATATCACTAATTGATTGATTCTCAGTCAATATTCAGAGTCAGTCTATATTGGTCTATTTTCCAAAACACTTGAATTTTTATTGCATTTGATATTATTTAAATGTTTATACTTTATGAATAAAATTATTAATATGTGAGGCATAACCACTATTTATTGTCAAAATATGTAGAAACAGAACAAAACAAGATAAATACAATAAAATGCAATACAGTACTACAGGAAATAATGTACATCACATGTAGTAAGTATAAATATCTCATTAACTATAGAGTTTTGTTTCTCTGCCTTATATATACCAATGTAGAATACCCTTTTAAGAAGGGTTCTATTTTTCAATTTACAGGCATCTAGGTTGTTTCCAGGTTCTGGCTATTATAAATAGTGCTGCTATGAACATAGTTGAGCATGTATTTTTGTGGGATGACTGAGCATTCCTTGGGTATATTCCCAAGAGTGGTATGGCTGAGTCTTGAGGTAGATCGATTCCCAATTTTCTGAGAAACTGCCATACTGATTTCCACAGTGGTTATACAAGTTTGCATTTCCACCAACAGTGGAGGAGTGTTCCCTTTGCTCCGCATCCTCTCCAACATTGACTGTCATTAGTGTTTTTGATCATAGCAATTCTGACAGGTGGTAGGTGGTATCTCAGAGTCATTTTGATTTGCATTTCTCTGATGACCAAGGATATTGAGCATTTCTTTAAATGCTCATCAACTGAAGAATGGATTAAGAAAATGTGGTACTTATACACAATGGAGTACTACTCAGCAGAGAAAAACAATGACAGCATGAAATTTGCAGGCAAATGGATGGAACTAGAAAATATCATCCTGAGTGAGGTAACCCAAACCCAGAAGAACAAACATGTACTCACTCATAAGTGGATTCTAGATATAAAGAAAAGAACAATCAGACTGCAACCCACAGAACCAGGGAGGCTATATAGCAGGGTGGACCCTAGGATGACTGTGGCTTATAAGTTTTGGTTTTACTCAATTACTGAGCAAACCTCAATGAAACATTTCACTATTAGGATAAGAATTTATACTGTATCAAGCTGGTAATAGAAAAAAATAAATAAATAAAGAAGGGTTCTAATCATAATATTTTGAAAGCCACAGTCTTGAAAGATGTGTAACAATTCCAAAAGCAGCTGGACAACCCCAGGAGTTCTTGGTGGGGTTCAGAAAAGAACCTGTTAGCAAGATGTAAGGGCAAAGGTTCAAAATCCATCACTGCCTTGGAAATAGAGTTTCCTGAGAGTGCTTTTCTTTCTCTTTTCTTTGTGTTTTGTTTGTTTGTTTGGTTTTTTAGGAAATTGTAATTATATATGCCAGGTTGAGGAAAAACTGGAAGTTGTCTTGCCTCAGCCTCCCAAATATTGGGATTATAGCTTCACTATTGTTCCCAGATCCCTCTGAATTCTTATCTGTTGTCCAAGTCATAATTTTTCACTATAAGTGTTTTAATCAATTGCCCTTCACTGACCTTCCTAGAGGAATTCTGAAATCATGGATGAATGATTTCTACCATTCTTCCTAATGCCTTGAACTTACTACTATGCTATCCATCATGAAATATGAAAGATCTGAAAGAGTCATCATGTTTAACATAAAAAAGGTCACCTGAAATTTGAGGATTATTGGATATCTAGTTACCCCTTAGACTATTAGTCCAAGCATTGGCTGAATTTTAGGGGACACAAACTCAGATATTCTTCATTTCCTTCAGATTGATTTATAAGTGTCATCCAAAGTAACTGCAAAGTGAAGGCAGTTTAACTGTTTTCCTATGGAGGAGTTACCATGAATTGGCTCTGAATGAAGAATATACTAATTTTATGAAATTACAATAGATGGTTTCTTGAATTAAGTCTATTGGAATATTTTGTCCTATGTCTTTGCCACTGTAGCAAGATGATATGTCTATAGAATTATAGAATGTTTTCAAATAGTTCTAAATCATTACATTTTAAGAATACCTAAGAAAACCAGCATATGTAGAAGACAGGCCATATGTTGTCTCCACTGGAAAAACCCTTTTCTATCTTAAAGGGAAGGGATTTTTCCATGTCTTTTTTCTTTTCATCTGTAATTGAATAATAAATCGACAAGAGCATTCCAGACTTGGTCTACCTGGGTCACCCCAGGCCATGAAAGCACTGGTAAGTCTTAGTCATCTGTGAAAACAAAAACCAGATCCTCTGGACCTTTAGACTATGACTATTGTTCCACAGAAGCCACATTGGACTGCCACTAATAAGTATATTGATATAACCCAATGTTGTGGTTTTATGGAATGTTGCATTGCTGTCATATCAAAAATTTTAAGAATTCATAATGAGCATCTCCCAAGGCCTACATTCTGTTTATCCAACTCTATGTAAACTACATTGCCATTAAAAATGGTGAATGAAGAGCAATCTTCTCAGTTTTAATTTTTAAGGAGTTTCAAGAAATAATAATCACACACATGCATATTCACAACTTCATTTTGTCAGTGGCTATTATTGTAAAAGAAGGTAAATGATCTGTTTAGAAAGCATGCAACCTCAAGAGCAGTAACAGCCAGCAACTGTGGCCACGATATAGTCAAGGAGGGAATCTATAGGAAGTAGAAGGACTATGTCTTATTCTTGAAGTACGCAAACCTCAGCCCATAAAGTAGAGCTGTTTGCAATTGTTCACAATAACTATTAAAAGTCCAAAGATTCAAAAACATCATCCCACAGGAAGTCTAAATGATATGACTGACTGAAAATGATTAGAAAGAGAATTCTGGGTAAAACACTTTAAGTTTCTACAACAAAATACAGAGGTACATGAGCACTTTGAATCTAGGATTCATAACTGAGTGGTAGGTCCACGTATTGTGTGAAGATGATAAGAATAGTATGTCATATCATACTATATAATGCTATATACTATATAATATACATGCTATGAGCTCAGAGATTCAGAATCAGGTTCCATAAAGCTTACTGTAGGTCAATTACTAAAAACTATACTAGTGAACTAATTATATCTTTTCACCAAGAGAAGTGACTATTTACTGTTACAGTTTCATGATCTCTGTTTTTGAGTAGACATGAATTGTCAAGGAGAGATAAACAGATGAGTCTTGCACATACATCTCAAAAGTACATACTTATTGCATATATGTAGGCATTACAAAAATAATAAAGACATCTTAAGCAATTCCCATATTTGTTTGATAGCTTACCTAATTCAAAGTAATATTGTAAAGCACACCCATACCCTGTTTGTATCAAGTGATACTTACCTGGTTTACCCACTGCAGGCATTAGTGTCTTTAGTATCTTGAAATTAATAGCCCAATGTGTATATTTATAATAATATCTGAAGGTATGAATTATATCTTATGACATTACTTTAATCATAGCTACATACATAGGAAACATAAAAATCTGCTAGACAGTCTGCTTCTTCCTGAGCTCTTTAGGTCATTGTAATTAAAGTTTTCATCTTTAGTCACAATTTCCTCCCCCCCCCCTTTTTTTCCTGATCTCCTTTTCACTCATTATGTTGTTGTTCCTTTTTCCTTGGTCTCTGTGGAGAAGCTGTCCTTCATGTGATCCCGCTCTGCGTGCTCTTCCCAATCTCTCTCTGCTTATCTCCATAGGTCAGACCAGTTCTTTTCCGAGCCAGAACATTCTGTTCTCTTCACAGGCAATGTTCTATTCCATTGTGTTTGGCCATAATCTGTAACTAACTCCGTGATGCAGAAGGGCTTTATCTTGACCCCTTTGTGAAGAAGCATACTTTCTAACTAAGGCAAGGCTGACTGGCATTTGTCTTTGTAGATATGCTACTGCTAAATGCCTCCAGCAGTGCCTGCCAGCTCCCCACCCCCCACCCCCCAGTGTTTGTCATCAATGGTTATATTGGCTTGTACACAGTATCATTTCATTTAATCTTTACAACAATCCCTTACAAAGATTAAATTGTGCCTTAAGGTAAATGATTAATAAAAATACAGAACACACAAAAAGCAGTATCATCATGGGAACCTGAGATATCAAATTTACATGTGAGACTGTTTCCTTTAGAAAAGATAGAAATTCTGCACAGCTCAAAAATGATCAGAACCTTGGCATCTATCACTTCAACTTGTAATAAGAGACTTTATTCTTGTTTTCTACTTTGGCTGTTTCCTGACTGGCCACTTTACATAAAGTCTTTATCATTTCTCTGCTTAGAAGTGTAAATAGTTCCAGTGAATGAAAACAGAAGCAAGTAATCCTTTATAATGCAAAATATGCACAATCATGCAGCACTTAAATTTGGATAGTGCAGACTATTATGCACTAGCAAAATTATGGACTAGCAAACCAAAGTTATTAAATTAAAACAAAATTATTCTTTTTGTATGTGTTTGTTGCTTAGAATTGAACTTAGGACCTTCTACATGCAAGGCAAATTCTCTGCCTTTGAGCTATATCCCCAGTCCTAAAAAAAAATAATTCTTAAGAATAAAATATTATCCATATAAAAGTGAAAAAAGACAATTTTAATTATAATTATAGATTATTTCTTTGAGTTTAAAGAAAATCCTTAGGAATTCGTAGCTTCAAGGATAAACATTGTTGCCTCAAGGATTTCTTTATCTCTAATGATGTTACGTGAGGAATTCTGGCATTGGACTAAGAACATGACCCACAGTACTTATCAAACTTGACAATTTATTTTCTGGAAAGTATTTTCTTATCAGATCCAGTATATTAAAAATATTGATAAAAGAAAAGTCAAGAACATAGAAAAATGTTTGTTTATTCATACTAAAGTTTTGGAAGTATTGCCAAAATGGCCTCAGTGGGATAAAACAATAATGAAAAATACATTTTTTTCTTACTTAAAAATGTTTGGGAAGGGGTTAGAGAGGTGATAAAATCAGTCTGTTCCCAGCACCCATGTTGGGTGGCTCACAGCCCCCTGTAACTACAGCTCTAGGAGTTCCTATGCCTTCTTCTGTCCTCCATTAGCACCATGCTAATATGACATATACATGAGCACATGCACACATGTGTAAAAATTAAAAATAAACTGAAAATATGCATTTATGATAACATCTCCAAGTATAGACAGAATCTGTCACTTTGAACATTTGTGTGTTATTGGTGAAAGTTTAATAATGTAGCATAAAGAATTGTTTTTAATCCCCAAATGTGACTTGTTCATTGCTTTGTGGAGAACTATTAAACAATGCATCAGTCATGAGGCTAAGATGAAAAATAGTACCCAAATTTGTGATTCACTCTGGCCAATAATTTTTTTTTTAAAATGCATAGTTCCTAAACATATCCAGAAAATAGGAAACCTGAATTAAATTGTACACTCATAGTCAAAATAAACATACTTACTTTTCCTTAGGAAAAATAGGAACTGTCTTATTAGGGCAAGACAAATGATTCAGATGTATATCAATTGGTTTGTATTTTCTAAAGAAATATAAGGTACATTGTTGCTTGCATTTGGGTTTCATGAGACCAGTATGCTGAGAGGTCCATGCCTTTCCCAAGTGGCTTCCTCGTGTTCTTCTTAGCAGCATGACTTGGACTGAGACAACTTAGTTGAAATGGTTGAGACAAGTAAAACAACTGAAGTGTTTATAAAATCGATCATCTTTAGTTTTACAAAGCATTACCTTTTGAAATTCAGACTTTTTGACATTCAGGTATGGTGCCCAGTTTGACATATCTGCACCAATGAACCAACACGCTTGAATTTTAAAAGCTCAGAGAGTTTGAAATATAGGTTATATATACTAATTCCAAATAATAAGATATATCACAAACAATGTGTTCGATTTATTTTAATAGTCTATGCATGGTTTTTACAAAACATATTCCAGTGTGATTGGCTGTATTTTTTTTAAATGAAGTTCTTGTCAATTGTCTTTGATATAGTGTGTATGTACATGAGTGTGTGTGCGTGTGCATGTGTGTGTGCATGTGTGTGTTTGTGTAAAGTGAGGAATAACCTTAACAAATGCATTGGAGAACTTTCCATCTCATTATTCTAGAGTTCCAACAATAAATTTCTGTTCAATTAAGAAAATAAAATGTGTCTATTAAGCCATTATGTCATGCTAGACAGAGTTCTCTAACAACTTTAAGGTTTTTTTTACATAGTAGTTAATAATTTTCAAGCCTGTTGCTACTGTTCTTCCATTGCATTGTGACACAGATACGTGTTGTTCTTTAGCTTTCTGCCAAGCCATTAGCAAGATGGCCTCCATAACTCTTGTGCTAGGGATTCATTAATAAATATTACCTCATGGATTTGCTTTCTAATTTCATTTCCCTTTTATGTCTGTAATTTACTGCCTTTTAGTTTCTCGTAGCTTGTTTAAAATTACTTCCATTCCTTATTTCAGTATATAATTAATGTACCTTCTATTTTAGTTTCGATAAAGATGTTTTAAACTAACTTAACTGCCATAATATAAAATAGATAAATTTTATCAGTTAACTCAAAGTATCTACTTCTAAAACTAATGTTTTTAAAGTTTTCTAATATTTTTGTAGAGAATTCATTTAATATTCTGTAATATGAAGGTAGTATTGTTGTTATTGATATTTTTCCACAATATAATTAATTACAATATTGGGTAGGTTCTATTTGTTTCAACTTGGATTCACTTTTAAAAAATGTTATTAAAAACAGAGTCTTCTTTCATACAATACATCCCAACCAGTTTCCTCTCCCTCTCCTCCCCCTGGCCCCTCCACTTTAATATTTGAAGCCATGCATACTTCAATTCTGCTTTTTGAGAACAATTTTGTTTTGTTTAACTGTGATTTCTGCAGAACATGGTTGGAGAGTGGGCCTTACCAGAAGACATGGCTAACAGTTCACCACCCTCCAACAATTACATACTGGGACATGTGCTCCAGAGACTAATTGAAAAATCTATCCCCTCTCAAGATGCTGCTGCAGAAACTGAATCACCTTCATATGCTGTGAAGGGATGCTTGCTGGGGAAAACCCTCAGTGGAAAAACGACTGTTCTAAAGGCTCTACAAGAAGGTGTTTCCTTCCTTTTTCTTTTCCTTATTAGATTATATTTATATTGACTGTAGCTATAACTGTCTATGTCTATAAGAGTCATACCAGAGAGTCTATTTAGAGAATAGCTCTCATCAAAATTTTATAGTAGTAAAATCAAATGGCTGATTTTCCATATATAAGAATGAGGTACTGGTACATGCTTCAAAACGTTCAATCTTGCTAGCATTATGCTAAGTAATAGAAACCAGAGAAAGAAGGTAACATAAATTTAACTTATGTGAGGTGTCTCAAAATAGACAAATCCATGCAGATAGAAAATGATTCCTGTTTACTGGGACCACAGATTGGGGAAGAGGTATGCCACCATAATAGGTGGGCATTTCCTTTTGAGGTGAGATGGTAAATAACTGGAATAAGGTAATTAATTATGATGATCACCCAGCTTAGTGGATTTCTCAGTACCACTGAGTTGTACCCTTTCGACTGGCCAAAGTGATTTTATTCCATGTAATGTAAATTTTATTACAAGTAAAAAATAGCTTAATCCAAGGGACAACTCTGGAGAGAGAAGGGTTAGACTGTTAAAGCAGAATACAGATGCAATAGTACCAATTCTCAGAAGGCAAGGATATATATAAAAAAATGTCTTTTGTACTTTAGACTTTCCTATTCAGGTACTTTCTATTGATACTCTTGTCCTGGAAGCTATCCGGGCATTTCATGACAATGAACAAGCCAGTGGGGTAAAACCAATTCGCAAAGAACATAAAGGAGATCCTCTATCGGGCGTGAAAGAAATTAGAAGACAGGCAAGTGCGATTTTGGTTTTCTTCAGCTGGTACACTACAGATATAGATCAGGATCGAATCCAAAGATCATCCAGGAAAAGTTCAAAGGGTGAATAGTTTAGGTTCTACAGACCAAGCAGCAAGAGAGGGTATTCTCCTCCTAACTCTACTGTAGTGGTATTTGCTCCGCCCATGACCTTGGGTTATAGGGCCTAACAAGGCAGTGCTTCCTGCTGCTGGTGGACTTGACCTCTTAAAAGGAGAGGGAGAAGGGGCATGACCCTTCTCCCTGCTCCTGCCTGTGAGGTAGATTTGCTTCTGGTCAGGTCAGAGGATGACTTCAGCTGTCTACTATCTTCTGTAATTGAGTGTATTTCCTCAATTTATATCTTAATAACTTCCTATTACCCATTAAATAGACTCATGTGGATTGATCTTAATAAGCATGCCCCTTCTCCCTGCCCCTTTTAAGAGGTCATATACAATGGCAGGAAGCACCTCCTTTTGGGGGCCCTATAGCCCAAGGTCATGGGCAGAGCAAATACCACTACACTCTACCCCATTAAATTGATTTTCCTGGGTGGACCATCCAGAGTAGTGAGGTCATTTGAATTCTATGGCAAAAGTTGAAGATGCTATCCAGAGGCAGGAGCTGCCAGATGAATGGGGTATGTAGAAGATTGGAATTTACATATATGGAATGGCAGTTGTTAGGAGAGTGGCCTACATCTGCAACTAAGATCACTAACTCTTAGACTGGCATTCCACCACTCAGTGTCAGGAAGTTGAGAGCAGTGAGTTTCCCAATATGTAGACTATACAGCTGGACCTTGGTAGTGGATCAGACAGGTGTTAGACCTCCACAGGGTTAAGTATAAAATAGGACACATGGCTTGGTCTCTAGGCTCACAATAGGCTGCTTGAATGATATCCAGGAACCATATGAAAATAGCTAGTTGGATCAATTTAGTCCACAGCTAGAGTATACCAACCCATGACATATTTCAGTTTGGCTAGCGGTAAAGGCAGAACTCCAAGTGGTTTAAATTAATCACATTTTCATTATTTAACATCAACATTGCAATTTATTATATTATTTCATAAAAATATAATCCTACATGCTTGGGGGTCAGAAGAGTATTGTGTGACTTTAAGAAACACTGACATGATTTAGCTCTCAGTTTTTCTAGAGACAGTAGTAGAGACCCTTGCTGTGGATATCATTCTATATAAATAAAACACTGATGGCCAGTGACCAGGCAGGAAGTAGGTTGCCAGGCAGGAAGTAGGTGGGACAAAGAGAGAGGAGAATTCTGGGAAGTGGAAGGCGGAGGGGGAGACACTGCAGCCACCGCCAGGACAAGCAGCATGTGAAGACGCTGGTAAGCCACTAGCCACGTGGCAAGGTATAGATTTATAGAAATGGGTTAATTTAAGATAAAAGAACAGTTAGCAAGAAGCCTGCCACGGCCATACAGTTTATAAGTGATATAAGCATCTGAGTGATTATTTTATATGTGGATTGTGGGACTGCGGGGCTTGGGGAACCTGGAGAGAAGCCCTCCAGCAACAGACCCTACATATGGATTAGTTTTCTCAAGGTCAGAGACTTGTGGAAGCCTGCATTATTGAATCTTAGATTTGAAGTCCACTACTTTTTCTCTTACCTCACTTTGTCTAGCTATTGAATCAATTGACAAAGAATCTACTCTAAATGATTTTCATTTACAGGACAAATACTAGTAAACCATGAGCTATGAAAATTTGTTTCATTGTGTGGTTCTTTCTTCTTTCCCATTATGGCAAACTTGCATTTAATCAAGAGTAAAGAATAAAACACATTTTCTTGCTTATTTATCTATGACCATAACTGACAGCTTTAGGAATATTTTTTAAGATTTTTTTTCTATAAACATCACATTTCCCCTCTTCTTTTTTTTTAAATTTCTAAAACAGTAGTTCCTTTATTTTCATAGAAATTGAAAGCCATTGAAAGATTACACAGCACAGGTAACTCTGTCTCTATAAATTCAATACTCACCAAATTTTGTTTGCTTTTGGAAATCACCATTTAGGATAGATATTTCAACCCAGTTTAATATCATTAATGTAGAGAAAACAGTTTATTCTCAAAACCTAACTGAGAGAAATGAAATGGAAATGGAATGAAAATATGACCATATTAAAACTGTGTTTTTGCTTTTTATACCATAGGCGCAAGATTCGTTATCAGTTCCTCCAGCTCCAGGGACATCAATATCCCTACAAGAAGGTAAAGCTTTATAGCTAGTAAGTAATGTGTTGCAGCAAGTCATCCACCATTTATATTGCAGCATGACAGAGAGAAATGCATAAACAGTAAGAGTACATGTTTGTAACAAAAGACATGATTCCAGGGGAAGAAATGGTGAACAGTGGATGATTGAATACTTCTCTGTGTGGTTATTAACACAGTGCAAGATAGCCATTGCCCACATTTGAAGAGAAAGGTGAAATTACAATGAATACTTTCATCCTCTTTCTTAAAGTAGTTACTCACTTTTGCCTTTATGAAAGCAACCAGGAGACATCACGTTCACTCATCATTTTCTTGATTTTTTTTTTCCTTTTCACCTATTCAAGTGTGTATGAGAGAGTAACATCAGAGCTCTGTGCATGGAGGAAGACTTCAGATTCTGTTCTCTTCAACTCATGAGAACAGTGGTCCCTATTCATTAAACTGGGCTGGTTCTTATTCTTTGGCAATAGCAACAGGACGGAGTTTACTAACCCCAACTACAAGGTCTCTCCTTGGGAATCAGGTTATTTGTATAATCACTGAAGGAAAACAGTTTAAGCATTAAATGACCTTTCTTTGTGTGTTAGTGGAGCTTTTAATATATTTCAATTTGTTCATATTTTATTATAAAGCTCAGTTCCTCTTGCATGATCACTGTTATATACTGTCACTATAGAATCATGCACAGATTTGAAATAATTGTGCAGTTTTTTCTAAGGTGGCTTTTCCATTTCTGTTGAATGGCACTCTCTTCCTTTTTCCAGTGATTTTGCACCTTAAGAGATTATTTTAATATTACTATTGTGACTTTTCACTATAAATATATTCTGAAAACATTTTTCCATGTAATTTAACTGAAAGCCCATTCTAATTTCTAAATGTTTCTAAAATGTTTCTTATCTATAACTTCACAGTCTAGGAAAGTAAATGTGTAGTGAATTAACATTTTGATATTTTCTTGAGAAAGCTGGTTTGGTTACCATGGAAGAAACTGAAGTTGTATATTTTGAATCTGTTATGAGCTCAGACCATGCCAGGAAAGAAGTGGGAAGCTTCCAGCCACACAGTGGCCAGGATCTGAAGGGCTGTGGACTGAAAGTACAAGCCCTACTATAGTGCTTATATTGCATCCTTGCTGAGTGTATCAGCCATGGCTGAGTCAGATGCCCTTATTCCCCAGCCAGAGAGGGCCAAGTGCTGGCATGGTTTTTAAATTCAAATGCTGGGACTTTGTTCTTACTACTTTCCTGTTAGTAGGTGCCAAGAACGGTGAAGCTGAAGGTGTCAAACCAAGTGACAGTTTCTTAAGTGTAAGTATTTAATCTAATTTTGCCTACTCAGATGTGAAAATGTGTCCTAGTTTATATTCTTTTGAAATATGTTCAGATGACATGAACTAACAACATCCTTCTATTTGGTTTTAAATTATGTTTGATAGAAGAATGGTTAATACTTTCTATGATGTTGTTTATATTTTTAATATTTTTCTAACTAAAGCAGTAGAAATTACTATGCCATTTTACCAGGTTAGAGAAGGTATACATATGAATTTTGTCTTAATTCACTTGATAGTATTTCTTAAAGAAACTAGTATTTTCATAAACAGTATTGGTTAAATTTTGGGGGAATAATGGCATAATCTCATATGTTTCAATTACTTTTTTATGACAAATGATTGTTTTATGATATGAAATTTATCATGCAGATTTCAGAATTGATTCAATATAAAAAAAAGTTGGGCCAATCAGTGGTGGTGCACACCTTTAATCCCAGTACTCAGGAGGCAGAGTTTCGAAAAACCAAAACCAAAAAAAAAAAAATTGGTTCTGCAGCCAAGCAATCAACATGATGGCTTATTGAGAGAAAAAACAATGAGTAGAGCACTATAACTTTTATCTATTCATTTGAAATATGAATTAACAGGGAGTCTGGGTTTATTTCTCTAGTTATACTTACTGATTTGTGAAAGCATCCAAATCCATATTCAGTTCAGTTCAAAAGAACATGCTCTTCCCTACGTGCTGTAGTATTTGGCTATATAGAAAAATAAATAAGGGAGTTCTCTGCTCTTATGGAGTTCACATTCTAATAGAGGTGGGCAGTAATCAGCCATAAACACTAGTCGATGAACTGAAGAGCATGGTAAAATATGATCAGGTTCAGGTAAAACTTGAAAAATAGAGGACAGCAGCATTTGGGGGAGGGGAAGGAAAGAGTGCTCCTGTATTAAACTAAGGTAGGCCCACTGGAGAAAGCATGACTTAGGCAAATTGAAAGAGTTAAGAGAAATAGTCAACTGGATGTAGGAAGCCTCTCCAGCAACATGAATGAATAGATTGTCGCAGGGTGACCAACATGCTTAACAAAGGCTGAGATCAGAAAGATAAGAGAAATGAGTCCGGTCTGTCAGAGCTTGAGAAGTAATTATTATTATCACATTTGTCATAGAGTATGCTGCTGTCCTCTACATGGGGTGGATGGTTGGAGTAGAGCTAGAGTCTCATTTGATATAAAAATATTCCAGTGCCTGAGTGAAGAGCAGGCTCCGAAGAAGCTCATGTTCAGTGACATTATATAGCTTGTACAGAAATAACCCCTTATCAATATCATACTTATTAATTCTGGACAAAACCAAAAAGTTAATCACTAGAGTGAGCTTGTGATAGAAAAAGAAAGGTCAGTCATCAAGGCAGAAGAAAAATGGAGCTGGAAATCTGGAATGTGATCACTGAAAGAAAGCCATATGGGTGTGTGTCTTCCCAAAGGGCATTCACCCATTGATATGAGTGGTTAGAACTGAGTCGTTATGATTGAAAATGTTAGGATATAAAATGTGGCATGCCAGAGCAGCTGAAAATTAGAGGAGGCGATCTCAGAATGAAAAGAACTCCAAAGAAATGATTCAAAATTGGTAGAGATCTTCCTTGAGTACTTCCCTGGCTCCAAAAGTATGGTAATTCCTCAGTATCTTCATTAGAATCATGGGTACTAAATTGTTTAACTCCAGACATCTTGAATGGAATAGGACTTTTCAGTCAGCTCTTTCCTAGCCTTCTTCATTTCTCTCCACAGCTTACTGTGAGAGCTCAACTTGGTGCAAAGTCAGAACAGTTGCTTAAAAAAGGAAGGAGCATCCCAGACATATTGCTGGTTAACATCTTGGTGAATGCTATTAAGTATGTATTGCCGTTTCCTTTCTCATACCTATTTCATATATTCTTTTTCCCCTATGTGTATAGACGTATGTGCTCATGTGTGACTTACGTGTTTATGTGCATGTGTGTGAGAATGTGTGCGCAAACAGTACAGAGGCCTAAGGCTGACATTGTCTCCTCTTTCTTTCCTTATCCTTTGGATGGGAGTCTCATTCAATCCTTGAGCTGCACAAAAAATAGTTAGTCTCTCTAGCCAGCCTACTTGGAGATCCCTTGTCTCCAACTTCCGAGGGCAGGATTATAGTTGGGTGCCCCACACCCAGCCAGCAATTACATGAGTTCTGAGAATCTGAGCCCCCATTGTCATGCTTGCATGTCAAACACTTTAATTGCTGAGCAGCCGTCTCCCTATCCTGTTTCATGCATTGTTTACCACAAAACGATATGTGAAGAATAATACAGAGATGCAACTTTTTAATATTCAAATGTTTCTAATACCCAAATTAGTCCTAAGATAAAAGGAAAATATATAGATTTGCATGCCTCTTCTCTCTGACCAACCTTGGCTTCTTCCTGATGTAAATGTGGGTCAACTTCCAGTATCTTTGGGGAATGCGAGGAAATTGGGCAATTAGATAAGCCAACGGTTGCAAGAAAGGAGATCCCACCTGAATGGGCACAGGTTTCTGCACTTGCTTGTGTTATGTTTCAGGAAGAGGGCAGGTACAGAGTCCAGGGATGCGGAGGCTAAGCAGTACTAAGACAACAGGCAGTGGGACACAGGCTAGACAAAGCACATCCATGGAACACCCGGAGGGTGTGTGATAGGGGGAAAGGGAAAAGTTCAGAGGCCGCATTTTGTAATTCCTCTGTCCTCCTTTCTATAGAGAAAAGATTCCTCTCAACCTCGCTTTGTTATACATGTTTATTACAAAGAGGCCAGTTGGTCTGTATAATAAAGGAAAGAATCCACACAGGATGAGGAAAAAAAGAGTAAAGGGTTCTGTTGAAAGAATCAGGTGGTGGAAATGGAATTGCTTAGCTGTGGTATGTGGGAACCATTATGACACAGAGGAGGAGAGTTGATAGAATTTTTACTATCCTTCTGGGATGAGCTCCTCCATTATGTTATCTTAAAAGACTGCTTTCAAGATTTAAGGTGATTCTCACTCTTGTATCTAGCAACTGGAACTCAAGGCTGCTACCCTTAGAGCTGGAGGGATTCTGATGCTCACATTTCCCAGAACTGACATAAAGTACACTTTACCACAGTGCTCTTTGTTCCTGGAGCAAATGAATATGCAAAACAGCAAGCAGCCCTTCACTTGAGTTTCAGTGGATCTGGAGGATCCACACTCCACAGCACAATCACCCTCCTCCCGCAGAACACCATTTCCATTTCCTCTAAGACACCTCCAGAGAACTGTATATAAGTTTAAAATCTTCTGGTCTAGTCCAATGAGCAAAGGAACATTAGATGTTCTGGGTAGTGATGTAACAAAATCTAAAGCCAGGCCTCATGGCTCCCTGATGTCTGCTGTCTCGCTCTAGCATTGAATGAGTGTAGCTCTAAGTTCTATCTCTGTTGTGGCTTCAGAGATGGCAGATCTCAGAAGAGGTCAAGCATTTAAAGGAACTCTCTTCTCTGTCTTAGGCAAATAAATTAGTAAGTCCAATCTGCGCCAAATGCTTGATCTCTCTCTGGAGAAGTCATGAAAGTAAAATGCACTCTTTTCCTGCTCATGATAACCTAATAGAGGAGATGAAGGCAGGTGCCAGAAGGAAGTGTGCGACTGTGCTGAGAATCGTCAGACAGGAGGCTATTTGTAGTTTTATTGCTTTTGATCAAGTAATGAAATCTTTCTGAACTTAGTCCCCTCTTCCTCCTGCCACACTGTCAGAATGAGTGCATGTAGGCACCGAAAGACTTAGAAACTTCTGGAAATGTGATTCTGACATTTAGTACAAGAGCTAGCATAGCAATAAACAAAGTCATACCTTTAAAATATAACAGAAAAAAATCAATTGTGTATAATTTGAAGATATAACAGAACAAAGTTGATACCTAAGTCCTTTTTAATATAGGTTGTACATTGTCTATCGAAGATAACATGCTGAGTGAAAAAAGATAAGGTCCTTAATACTTCAGAAATTTATAACACAACTTAATATAATTTTTAAAAGAATAACTTTAATTTTTTATGTCAAGACTAATTTATTCATATGGTGAAATTAGTGAGATCGTAAAGAGTTATAATCAGCCTGTTATAGGAGTGGGAAGGGTGAGGACACCCCTCCAGGTTGGCAATGAGAGTGTTTAGTATGGACTAAGATCTGTTTGGATTTATTAAATATGCCATTTCTGTTCATCTTCACAAACTCCTAATGAGATAATTTACAGTACCCCATTGTATAGATGAGGAACTTGAGGTACTGAGGAAGTGGAGCCTATGAGCATAAAGTAAATAATGCCATGTGTATTCACATAATAGTGAAGGTATCTGCTTGTAAGCATTTGAAACTGTGAGAGTTTAGAAGTTTGGGAGAAATAAGTCATGGTCATTTAGTTTTAAATAGGATGATAAGGCTTCTGAAATAGATTTGGAGGACAACAGGGACTCACAGAAGGATTTTAAACAAATCATCGATCAGAACACATTGGAAAACCTGATGCTTTAGCTATAAAATCCTGAAACTCATGCAATAGGATGAATGTGCAATGAAGATGAAGGCATTCATTGTATTACTAACTTCCATAAAGTAACGGTGTCTGGCAACATGCTAATGAATCATGCTGTTTGAATTTAGGAATATGCCCGTGAACCAAAGCTGGGTTCTTGATGGGTTTCCAATGACATTAAACCAAGCTCAACTTCTAGAAGAAGCATTGACAGGCTACAAAAAAAAATGCAAAGAGGCCGAGAAAAAGAAAGCACAGATGCCCACCCTGGCCTTGGGCCCTACCCCTTCCAAAGAAGCCCCTCCGCTCCCATCAGCATTCGACTTTGTCGTATTACTAGATATTTCAGATAATACATCACTGGATCGCATGAATGATATCATAGGTAAGCCAAATGCCTTGATTTTAAAATTTTATACTTTTTCATAATGAAAAGTGCTTTTAAAATTTGTTTCCTTAACTCCATTTTTCTTTTTTTGTTATTGTTGTTGTTTTGTCTTTTTGCTTTTGTTTCTGTTTTTGTTTATTTTTTTCAAAGAGCAAAAGAACATAAAATTGGGTGGGTAGGAAGATGAACAGGATCTGAGATAATGTGAGGGGAGGAAAAAAACATGATCAAAATATACTATATGAAAAAATTGAATAAAAATTATTCTTTGACTAAGTGAATATTTCCATTTAAAAGTATAAGAAAGAATTCATTTAATTGAGCATTCAAAGAATTACCCAATTGAGTTCATCATGCCTTGTTTTAACTGTCAGTATTAAGAATTAGGCAAACCTGGGACTAAGAGAGAATTCTAGGCCAATTATAAGCATTTTGCTGGAACTTTACATCAAATTGACAGTTCTCCATGCCCGTTTCCTCTGTGAGATTTGTACACATGGAGAAGCAATATGTAGCTAGTACATATCACAATGATGTTGACAAAACTGCATCTGTCTTACTTATGAGGATCTGACAACAATCGTTTCTTGTGTTCTGTTCTAACTCTTAAGAACAGGAAACAATGTCTTGAAGTCCTCATATGGTGAAGTTGAATACTATGGCCAAAATGCATGGTTTATTTGACTTCTTATTATTAAAGTAAAAATATTATTTTATTTTACATATTAAATATTTACCAAGATAAAAGTATATATTCTTAACCTTTAATTTCCCATTTATAAGTTACTTGAGATAATTTATTGTGGTTTTTGTTGTTTTGTTTTAAAATTTATTTTATTATCTGCTTTTTCTTTTCTGGAGTAAGGTCTCATTTTAATGCTTAGGCTGGATTTAAACTCATAGTCTCAATGATCCTCTGACCTTAACCTTCTTAAACCTCAATTTCCCAACCAATAAACTATTGTATTGTCATAGATACTTAAAGAAATTGGACTTAATCGTGTAAGATTGGTCTGGTATGTAGTAAAGGTCAGGGAAGTTTGTGGAAGGCTTTGAAATGAGTGAAAGATGACTGACTGGGTATCTTTTCAGTAGAGATCTGCGTATTTTCTCCTAGATGTTTTGGAACAAGTGATTCTATCCTGATCTATGTCTTTGACTTGACTATTCTGTAAATCAATGCAAATTACTTCTGTTTAGAGTCAGATTTACGAATTTTCTTCAATTGAGACAACATTTTACATTATCAAAAGCCCTGTAAGCTGAGTTCTTCCTGTACATGCTATAGAACAATAAAGGGAGATAAGGATGGAAACACACCCATCGGTTTTGGCATTTTGGGTGACAGCAATGAAAGCTGTTTCATTGGTAATGGGGAGGGGAAGTTGTATTGCACAGGATTGAAGCTGGAATTAGAGGCAAGGGGGTAGGAGAGGGTGAGTGAAAATAACTTGCTTGAAGCATTCCTCTGAAAGGCGGACAGCATAGAGTCAGAATACTTTAGATTTATTCTTAGGATCTGTTCTCCTTTTCCTTCCCTTTCTTCTTCTCTCTTAGAGGAAAGGGCACAGAGTTAACCAAATGATTTTCTTAATGATAATTAGTTTTGAAGATAAGGCTGTTGCTTTTGACTTCTTGTTGTTGTTGTTTTAATTTAAAGATACCTACAATAGTTTAACTCTGGGAAGAGAAATGATAAAACCAGTTAGTTTAAATTCTCCACAGTGTAGACTCACCTGGAAAGAGAGTCGCAATGAGGGCCTTGACTTCTCCACAGTACTAGACTATAACCTGAAATTGGGTGCAGTTATTTTTCTCTGCTTAACTATGGATATGACTATCACTGGGTTTCTGCCTTTTCTTCCCCACAGTAATAGACTATAACCTGAAATTGTGTGCATCCACTTGTTTCTGCTCTTAACAATGGGTATGACTAGGAGGTGCATTAGGTTTCTGCCTTGACTTCCCCACAGTAATGGACTATAACCTGGAATTGTGAAGTAAGATTCTTCTCCCCTGAGTTGTTTTTTGTCAGAGTATTTTATCAAAACAGCATAAGTGAAAGGACAGATAATAATCAACCACAACCAGTACAGTAAGAAGGGTAAATTAAAGTTGTTAGACAGAAATAGAAGTTGAAGTCTATTCAACTTCTGAATAGAAGTTCAGCCATGCTAGAAATAACGATATGGCCATGGTGGTCAGTCTGGAGGGCAGGTGTAGGGATTCTGGAACTGGACACGGCTGAAGAGCTCTGTGAGCTGCTGGAGTCCTGGAAGGATCAGAGTTTACACTTAAAGTGTTGTACTTAAGATCACAAAGATGGGTCATCAGGGCCCCTAAAAGTCCTGGAACCATGGTAGTGAATGTTGGAAATGGAAGGAAAGGGGGACGATGTCTGTATATGAGATAGAGCTGGGAGGAGAGAGGGGGGAGGGAGAGGGAGGGGAGGAAGAAAGAGAGATCTAATTCATGTGCTGAAATCCTCAGCACATGTGAGAGGTATTGACCACAAGATAGGGATGATAGCATCTCTTGAGAAAGCATCCACATTTTTCTTTCAATCATCCATTCTGTAGATGGGAAACAGCTGATTGCTGCGCCCTACGAGGGCCCTTGATTGCCTTGAATGCTGCTAATTTCCTCTTCTCGGCTCTTTTGCTTTGAGCAATTCTCATCCCTTTTAATCTAGTCCAAGGTGTTATTTCTTGGCTTTGAATATAGTAAGTTTCATAACAACAACAACAAAAATCACCATGATTTTGTATTCCAAATCCTTTCCATCTTGTCATCTTGTTGTATCATTAATGGAGATGGGAAGAAACTGATTACTATATTTATGAGGTCTTTCATTTTCTAAAATGCTATTAAGTCACATTCTAATGCTGTTTTGCTATAATTCTAATTCCCTTTAGTCTAATTCAAGGCTTTCTTTTTTCTTTGATATTTCTCTGTTTATTACCAGCTTATGAGTATCTTATATTTGCATGAAATGAAACTCAATGAGAGTTGCTGAAATTGTTTTGTTTTAATTATTTTTGGTTTCTTATGGTCATTTTCTTTATGTGTATTCAAAATGGAGTTCATAATTCTAGAAAGAGGCATAAATATTTCACAGTTCAATAGTATGATATCAGTAGTGTTATGTATATTTGACTTTATGGCCACCTTATTTTTACTTCGAAGTGCTGATTTTCTCTCTCCAAGTTTGTTATCCATAACAAGTCATCCTTTGTCACCCTTATGTTTTCATATTGTTAAATCAAACTTTTTAGGCAGGGGGCATCTCTGAAATAAAGGGTTTACTAGGCTGTTACATAGTCCATACTAAAATGAAAAAAACAGTCAGTTCTGTGACAAATTATATGAGCTATCAGGAGCATGGTCTGTAAGTAGCTGGAAAAATGTTCTATGGATCTAGGAAGCCAGAATATCTTATAATGAAATGAAGAGAGAGGAAATCATGAACTGTTTACATTGAACCTTAGTAGTGATAGCTAAGAGAGCAAGACAGTACAACACAGGCAGAGTCCTGAGACAGGAGGGAATGGTGCTGATTCTTGGTTGTTTGATTCTGGAATCAGAATATATTAGCATCTTGGTGGCCAAACTTCAACTGAGAGGGAATATAGCATGACTTTCTTTGCTAATTTTGCTTGTGGTTTTTATTTATTATTTAGTGTGTGTGTGTAGTGTTTGTGTGTGTGTGTGTGTGTGTGTGTGTGTGTGTGTGTGTGCTTTTGTGAGTATATGTGCATCATAAATGTGCAAGTACTCACGAAGATCAGAATAAAGCACTGGGTCCTCTGGAAATGGACCTGTGGGCCAGCTTGAAAGCTACCATGTTGGTGCTGGCAATTGGACCTAGATTGTTTGCAGGAGCAATAAGCGCTCCCCAGCTCCTCATTTGAAGTTCTTAGTTAAGAGAACCTCTTATTGTCTTCCCTCCTCATGTCCCTGAGCCTAATTTCAGGCATCTCAGAATTTCCCACCAACACTCTATCCTAAGGTATTCCATATTGAAAACCCAGCTTCTCTTCAGTCTGTTTTGCCACATTTCTCACCCATTTGCAAGAGAAAATATGAATTCTTATTCTAAAACTACCTTAAATTTTTTGTTGTTGTTTGGGCTTCTCTTCAAGCATGTTAAATCAATTTGTTTCTTAAATTTACTTGAGAATTTAAGTACATTAGTACACTGTATCTCCACCATTTCCATGCCTGCTTATGCACCTCCATTTCCTGTGTCCTTCTCTTCCCCTCTTAAATTCATGACCTGCTCTTCTATAATTAATATATTCATTCACTTATTTAATTTTTTTTTTTCGAGACAGGGTTTCTCTATGTAGCTTTGCGCCTTTCCTGGAACTCACTTGGTAGCCCAGGCTGGGCTCGAACTCACAGAGATCCGCCTGCCTCTGCCTCCCAAGTGCTGGGATTAAAGGCGTGCGCCACCACCGCCCGGCTAAAAATTTTATTCTTTGAGAATGTCATACATATCACAATAAAATATGTTTGTATCTATCCAACATATGTTTGCTCCCACCTAACTCTCTGCAGGTTCCCCCAAACATATTTCCCTCCCAAATTTGTGTCCTCTTCTTTTGTTCTAACAACCCATAAATACCATTTGTGATGGCCACATATGCATGAGTTTGGGACCGTCCAGTGGAACATGGACTACCAAGTAGCGACTACATCCCCCAAAGAAGAATTATTCTCATTTTCTCCATCAGTAACTATCAAGTGCCAAAGGCCAGGGATGGGGCCTGTAAGCTTCCTCTCCTTCCATACTATGGTTTTGGTTGGCTTCATCTTGTGAAGGTCTTGTAGAGGTAACAGTTGGTGTGAGTTCATGAGTGTGATACCCATGTGATGCTAAAGACAACATTTCATAGCGTTCATCCTCATCTCCAGATCATAAATTCTTTCTGCTAACTCTTGGTTCTTTGAGCATTGATTTATGTGTCGGGGTAGTTAGCAATGTCCCATTTAAGATTGATAACTTACAGTTACTTATTGCTGCAATTTGTCCAGTTACAAGTTTCTGTATTGACTGCTGATTATTGAAAAAAATAAATAAATAAATAAATAAAAGAGCTTCTCTGGACAAGTGTGGGAACATCTCAGATCTATGGGTATAAACATAAATATTTAGAAGGAGATTTGAAGGCATGGTTATTTGGTTAAATAACAATAGTAAGTATTACTATAGGGCCTATGAACTCCCTATCAATGGGTTTTTGGCCAGTTATACAGTAGCAAGTGTAAACTCCATCCTATGTAACAGGCTTCAAATCCACTTATAAAACAATTGGTTACCCCACAATAGTCACCCCTACTATTGCAACAGTGGTCATCTCTTCTCTGACTTTAAACCTCCTTCAAAACATATTTAAGTATAGATTTTCAAGTGGGCTTGGTTGTTCATTTTCCCTCCCTATAAAATTCCTTCTTTTTCCCTGCCCTCCCATAAAAACCTCTTGGTGTAGAAGCTTCCTAAAAATACATAAATATACTAAGGAAATTTAAATGGAGTCATCATGTAATCAGGAAGATAATGATCCAAGTAGATATCCTATGCTACCAAGTAAAATTTACCTCCAGCCAGGAATAGGTTGCATCTTCTTGAGTCTACTTGTTGACCAGTAGTGCCCCATAGAAACCCCAAATATCATAGGCTATTGCCAACACTTTTGATTACCTTCCATAACCTGATTGTAAGGCCATATTGCTGAAGAAATCACACACACACACACACACACACACACACACACACGTGCACATGGGCACACACACACACATAATCATAGATAAATAATAAATAGAGCTATTGCCCAATTAGAAGTTTCATGCTTACTGATTATCAATCACGGTATTTAAAGGTACTTGGAACAATGCCAAAGAAGGAAAAAAGCATCAATAATACCAATCTCTAAACCCTGTAACCTATAAACAAAGACCTGTCTACAAGATCTATCAGTGCAACAGTGGCACAAATGTTATGGGAGTAACCAACCACTTTTTAACCATTGAATTTAATTCATACTCTATGAGATGGTACCCATCCCTGACTATACTTAAATAGCCAATAATCTGAGACTAAATAGGTCAAGGGCCCTAGAAGAAAACCTACTATTATTATTCTGCTAAAAGAGCATAGCAATAGAATTACTCCTAATGCCATATTGCCATGACCATAGATCAAGGTATCGCACAACCCTTATAAAGTATACTCCTACTTTCCATAGATGGGAATTAGAAAAGAGAAACACAACTGGACAGTGCACAGAGAGTTAGAAGCTTTGAATTACTCAGCCCTAAATGGGAGCCTCTATCAATCAGCTCTTCTAAAGGCTCAGGGATCTATGTGGGAAAGGAGGCACAAAGATATTAAGGACCAGAGGTGGTAGATGACTCCAAAGAAACAACATCATCCAGACACAACAGAATTGAAGCACTTATGAAATCATAGAGACTGTGATAATGATAGCATGCAGTAACCCTGATGAGTAAACACAAGACACAACTGCAGCATAGAGAAGGGGAAGTAAACATAAAATTCCATCCCTAGCTAAGAAGGTATTATCAATCGATACCTGCTTGAAAAGGGAAAGAAAGTTTTTTTTCCAGTGGAGTGACAGTAGGTATATATACCATATCAAAGGGCAGGCCTCATACCCAAGAGTAGTTGGTCAACACAAAATGGACCCAGTATCTTTTGTTGTTGTTATTTGTGTAAGTGTGTGTGTGTGTGTGTGTGTGTGTGTGTGTGTTTGTGTGTGTGTGTGTGTGTGTGTGAGAGAGAGAGAGAGAGAGAGAGAGAGAGAGAGCAGAGAGAGTGTTCAAGCACACACACATTTCATGCATGTATCTTTTTGTTTTGTTTTGTATTTTTTGCCCTACTGCATGCTTGTCTTGACCTTTATTTTATTTTATTTTTTTTGAGAAAGAACAAGAAGTTGAGTAGGTAAGGAGGTGGGGAAGAATCTGTAAGGATGTGGGGAAGGAAAAGAATATGATCAAAATATATTCCATGTAAAAAATTAAATAAAAACACACTAAAATAACATTAGACCAAAATATGGCCTTATCTACCTTGAATCTTACAAAAATGCTTTTTGGCAGTAAGTAGCATTTTGATTGGTTTTGCTGGTTATCTAATTAAGTAATTTTTGTACCATAGCCAAGGAAATCTCACATGAAATTTCTCATGAAAACATTGGTCATTGTGGAGCTTCTATAAGCCAAGATAAGAGTGTGGACCGGAACTTAAGAGACCAGATACACCATAGGTCAGTTTTAAACTTTGTGCCCTTTCTATTTCTTTCCATTCAAAGAGGCTACAAAAAAAAGATATATTCCCTACCATTGAGTCTTTCACAGGTAAAACAAAACAGGTTTTTGCACTGAGTGAAATATTTATATGGAAGCTTTTATATTTGGAGCCACAGTTGTTATAGTCTGGGGAAAGAAGCCAATCAGAAAATACAAGTTAATTACAGGGAATTCAGCAAACACTTAGAAAATACCAATGAAGATTATAGAATTCCAGAGCTGTGAGTCAGACTGGAAAAGTTTGTAGTAGCCCATCTGTTATACTAAAATGAAGTTACGTGGCATTTTTTGAATTGTGTGTAATTTTCCTTCGGAAAAGAAAATGTAGGCAAAATTAGGCGATTTCATGAAAGCCTGAGACATCTAAAAATAAGAAATGAAACAGGAAGTGTAATTTGAGCTACATGAATCTGTTTGTGTCCTAGGAATGAAAAAAAAAAAAAAAAAAAACATGGTTCAAGAAAGCTTTTTAGTAAAATAAATTAGTCTGTGCCATCTCTTCCTACAAAGACCTTTTCACTTCTTTTCACTTCCTATGTCCAAGAAAAGAAATTCTATGGCCTGACTGTGGGGGCTGTGGTCCTGTTAGAAGAGTCCTCAGAATGACTCTGCCATTAGCGTACATGATGTTGTCTTTGGTTTTTAACAGAGATCTGAACTTAAGTCAAATGTTTACTGAATGAATGGGTAGCATTTCCAAATCCTTTTCACTCATACTTCTAAAATTATAAAAATTATTCTTTGATGCCATCAGACAAGTTCTTTAAATTTAGTATTTAAATCTGTTAAATCCATAACTTACAGATTTCATAAAGTTGCTTTTTTGGTTTGAATTCCATTGGCAGGCTACTTTTTCATCATGAGCTGTCAAATAAATCATGCTAAATGTCATTTTATGTTTAATATCTCTTTATTCAAACATTGAAATCGGTATCACATATTCATATAATATTCTGATTTTGCAGAATTGTTGGCTTCTCAGACAATTGGTCATCATTGGAAGAGTGGTTTACAGAGCCACAAAATATTTTGACAAGAGTAAATGCTGAAATGGATGAAGGGGCTTTATGCCAGAAAGTAAAAGAAATTTTTTCTACTGAAATAGTAAATAAAAAGGCCAAAGGTAATTATATGTATATTTGTATGCACACAAATTAAGTCATTGAGAATAACACACATTATATCTTGATAATATTCATATCCTCCCCATCTTCTCACAGATCCATAACCCCCATTCAGATACCCACCCACATTTTTGTCATCATTATTATTTTCAACTCAATGAATCCAGTTAATGCTGTCTTTATATTCTCAGGCGTGTGATCATTCATTGGAGTAAGTGTATTAGACTTACCAGGGGCTGTCCCATTTATATCCAAATCCCCACATGTTATATCACATTGCTTTAACCTTTCATTTATTGGTGTGTGTATTTTCATTTCTTGAGATCCCAAGATGATGTGGAACTTACTATGTAAGCTAGACTGGCTTCCAGCTCGCTGTGATCCTCCTGCCTGTGAGGCTTTCTGTGAGCCTCATGAGAGCTGAGATGGCAGGCATTCACTGCTTCTCAGGACTGCTCTCTTCTTATGCACTTCTTGCTTTGCTGTGCTTCTAGATCACTTTAACTAATCCTTTCTCATTCCATTCTTATATTTCACTTGGACATTGACACCAGATCCCCAGTATTTTCTTACTTTCTAAACACACACATGCACACATACACCCAAATACACACACTCCATCACTCCCATCCTATAATCATTACCATAACCATAACTATGAGGCAAAAAAAAAAATAAGGAAGAGCCCAAATTATGAAAGAATGTTAGGTACAGTGTATTTGCTGTAATTTTATAGCAAATATAATATGCAGTAGTAATTTCACTAATTATAATTTGATAATAATTTTTATATTTGTTAGTTCAAATTAAATAGTACGTACCTGGAACTCCTAATGCTGGTTTTTTTTATCATTCTTCTGAAGTTGAAAAGAAATTAGAAGAAAAAGAAACTGATAAAAAGGCGGCATCTGCTGAGGCTCCTACCACTGCTTCACCCCTTTCTCCTGAAGCAGAGAAAGACAAGGAGAGTCATCTTCACCGTGAGATATCAAAAATTTCTCCTGGAAAGGGGAGAACACCATCAGGTGACTGAGAAACTGATTTATAACACTGTTTGTCAGTTTCTTATTTTCACGTAGAAAAGAATGAGGAGCTACAGTGCCAGGCTACTTAGCTAGATTCAGACATTGGTGACTTCAATCCTGTAAGACAAATATCCTCATCCAGAAGTAAAATGCTCTTTTTTTAATTTTATTTTAATATCTATGGTGGTAGGAATATTACCAGGTCTCTCACAGGCAGGGCACATGCTCTACCACTAAGCTACATCCTCATTCAAGGAAAAGCCATTTGTTTAAAATGCTCAGTGTCTTACCTGTTCCACGGGGCATGTGTAGTCACCGCACTCAAGCTAGCTGCTTCGCACATAAGCTGGGGTAGGAAGAGGAAGTTTGTAGAGTGACAAGTAGTGCTTTAGGGCAGAAGGAGGAAACCACTGTCTGCTGAGCTACAGGAGTGTGTTTTTGTAAAAAGGGAGAACATTTGGATGAATTGAGAATCAGTTCAGACAGGATACTCTTATATCCCTACAAACAACATGAATTAGAGACTTGAATTTCTGTATAGCTAGAACTATTCAGTAAGGTGATTACAGGAAGGATGCAGATGAGGCCAGCAAGGTAGTTCAATGTGCACAGGCACCCACGTCACATCCCCAGGACTTGTGCAGTGGAAATAAAGGACCAGGTCTCAAAAGTCATTCTGTAACCTCCACGTGCTTACATGGCATGTACACACACACACACACACACACACACACACACACACACACGCACGCACGCACATACCTCAGTATACATAGTTCATGGAAAAACAGTCTTGTAGATCATACAGTTTAGATGAAATTTGTTCTAGATCCCTAGCCACTGGGACTGTAACTTTAACATTAAATGACAGAAAATGAACATAACAAAATTTACACATTCAAAATTTGTATGACACCAATATCAGTTTTGCATGAGACATGGCCTCACAAGTGGTTAACTGTGAAGTTGTCTAGCTCAGTACCTATTCTTGGTGTGTCATAACTGTCTGACAATATTTTCACTGCATGAAGATTTGACGTATTTCTGTAGTTCTTTACAAAATTCAATTTAATCATAGTAAGGAAAATTTTTTGAGATAAAGTAATGCAAAATAATGTGTTCTGTTTAATGCGATTGAAGTCATTTCAAGTGGCATAGATAATGATGTATTAAAGACCATTTTACTTCAACAAATCCGGGCTTACCTAAATGCAAGATATATTTAATATATATTTATAAATATATAAATATATAAATAATATTTAATATAAATATTAAAAATGCCTTTAGCATAACACAGTGAAATGTAAAGCCTTATATGTGTGTATACATATACATACATACACACACATATATGTCCATATATATATATATATATATGTATATATATATATATATATATATACAATTCATTAGGAATTAGGAAATATAACTTAAAGGTCTAGAAGAAAAATCCATGCCTTTAAAATGTGATTTAGACTCAGAAGGTATTTTTTCACATGCTGGAGAATTATCCACCATGATCTTTTGAGCTTTCTTATAATCAGAATATCAGTGTGAAACTGTGCCCCCCCCCCCCCGATACCAATCTCTGGCCTTTCTGATTCTGACACAGTTTAATATTTAAGTTTAATATTAAGTTCCCGGAGGCTTTATTTTCTATTTTAAAGTTGTAACCTTGAATAGTGTACACTGGAGGAATAATAAATCTGTTTTGGCTTCACTGATGATTGTACCTGTCTCTTTTTTTTTTCTCCCCAGCAAGGTCAGGGCTGGTCCCTGACCTTAAACATCTATACAGCGGTTCATTTCCACTTGTCTAATTACATTCAAGCACAAAGCAATACTGATGGGATATCTTAGTGCATAGGGCATGAGAGTGAAGAGAGCTAGCAGCTCAGAGAAAAAAAAAAAAAAAGTTTGCCCAAGCAAGTTACGGATTTTGCTCTCTCTCTCTCTCTCTCTCTCTCTCTCTCTCTCTCTCTCTCTCTCTCTCTCTCTCTCTCTCTCTCTCTCTCTCTCTCTCTCTCTCTCTCTCTCTCTCTCTCTCCCCCCCTCTTTGGTTTTTCAAGACAGGGTTTCTCTGTGTAGTTTTGGTGCCTATCCTGGATCTTTCTCTGTAGACCAGGCTGACCTCAAACTCATAGAGATTCACCTGGCTCTGCCTCCCGAGTGCTGGGATTAAGGGCATATGCCACCACCACCTGGCTGCTTACTTTTTCAAGGAGAAAGTTAACAAGAAAATGGTATTTTTTTTAACGACACTCAAAATACTAGCATGAAAATTGGGAAAGGAGGCACAATACACTCAATCCTAGCAGATTTGTTCCAAGTATAATTCTAGAATACAGATATGCATTTTTTATCTGCTACAATTGTCTTAGGATTCAGCCTTCACATTTGCCCTCCATTGAAAGGTCTATGATGAAATCTGTCATCAAATGTTAGTATTTAATTTAGAACTAAAGTTCTCAATATAAAATAATAACATTCATGCTATTATTTAACATTTTTTTTTAATTTTTCATTTTTAGGATGAGCCTAGTAATGCAAACCTATAACCCTAGGATTTGCTAGAGATACAAGGCAAATGAGGTATTTAAGGCTAGCGTTGGCTATATAGTGAGCTTAAGGGCAGCCTGAGTTACATCACACACACACATACACACACACACACACACACACACACACACACACACACACATATTCATACGCAGTGAGATTTCAGAACATATTTGGAACGAACCTTAAAAATGAGAGAGTACATTACTTCCAACAGAAATAATTTTCCCCAAAATGTATAAGGCCAGTGTCTTATTTTATTTGTTTCTGTCATTTTGTGCTAATGGACAGAATTAATTATATATTTGGTTACTGAGAATATTTTTATCATAAAATTTTCTAATTATTAAATTTATTTCTTTAAAACAATTTCCTGATCCAAACATGTAGATCTCTATGAGATGTGTTGTCAGATGTGCGTATCTTTAAAAGTCCTTTCCATATTTCAAGGGTAATCCTGTATGTCATTTACTTAATTTCTATGGAATTTTGGCTGTCAGAGAGGAAATATTCAAATGAAAGTAACATGCATTTACAAAATTTTTAACTATCACTTCTAAGCATGCACAAAATGGATAAGATGAGCTCTCTACATCGTAATAATTTAAACTGTCATACTAGCTCATTGAGGAAAGTACATATCCCAAGATCAAGAGAAGGGAATAACTGATCATTTTGGTAACTAATGCAGCATGTAGTAGTGACATTTTTTTAAGGACTGAATCCTTATTTACTATTTGGGAGACATAGTATTGACCTCCAGATTGTCAATTTCCCATTTCCCTCTTTCTGCAATATACTTTAACTAGGTTCTAGGGAATGTAAGATAAATGTGCCCAAATTATCCTTTGCATTGTAAGTTCGAACCCGTGAGACTAGAAATAGAGAAGTCATTTGGCCATACAGTGCATGGCCAAAAGAGATTAAAAATATGTCATATCAGAGCAATGTTGTTATTGAAATCTTTCTCAAAGTGTTTCATTTTTATTAGGTATTTAGTTTTCATATTTTTAACATTTTATTATTATTATATTATAATTATTATTAATGTGTGTATGTTGCATGTGTATACATGGTATGCAAGGTGTGGAACTTTGAGTCAGTCCGTTGTCTCTCCCCACATTCCTGTGGATTCTCAGTGTTGAACTCACATTATCAAGCTTGCATCATCAGGAGGCAAGCACTTTTACCTGCTGAGTCATCTTGCTCTGGGGGAACCTAGTCTTATTGAATAAAGGTCATTTTGTTACAGTAAATTTAAATAAATTGTGTGCTTCAAATGAACTTGCAATTTGCCTGAAAAATTCCACACTCCCATAACAGATTATGAACAAACCTATCACTAAATATCAATATTAAAGCTAAGATTAAACTTCATAGCATGGCAATATAGAATATAATTGTGAACAACATCATTCAATAAGAGTAAATATAGGGTCTATCTTCAGATTGATTTCAACTCACAGGAAAAGAAAACTATCTGTTTGATGCTGTTCACAAATATCATTGATTGCTTAGCGATTGAACAGCCTGGGCTATTGAAGTAAGTCACCAATGATATTTTTGTGTTAAATTTTGTTTAGAAATCCAGCATGGTAAGCAAGACTCTCAACATGAAGTAAAAGGAAAGAAAGGTGAGACTGCATTCCAAGGAAAGGTACAACAAATCAAGTTAGCTATTGTTACATGTGCTCCTGCATTTTATAAGTGTCTCAGTGAAAACAGCCACAAGGTACAGCAGTCTATCTAGTGACTGCTTCTTTGGGGTAGTTGTAAATCATTAGCTCATTCCAAAGAAACCAGCCTCGGACAACATGCAGCCTAGTTCTTACCCAAGGTCATGCTGAGAAAAGTGAGACTTTTAAGAGATAATGAAGTGGTTGCCTAGTAGGCAGAGTAATCATCGTAGGTATTACAGATGTTATTCACAAGCTAAGCTTTTCTCCCAGAAAGGCACTGCTGCTCCTTCTTGGGCCTCTAACTAAATTGTATTCACTAACAAGTTCTTTGGCACACAGTCTCCCTCTTTCTTTCTAACACAACAGAAGTGGAGCTAAATCTTTACATTGTATCAATAATGACCAGCTATTACTTTTTCTGAAATGCAAGGATGTCATTTTCTCACCCAATAGCACATATATGAGATCCTCAGTGAGAAATTTCATTTAAAATCAAGGAGCATGGAAAGTTGCCTTCTACTGAGTGAGTGGTTGTATAATGAGCGTGGGTTTTGTTTGTTTCCAATTTTCCTATCTTGGCTGTCTAGAAGTTTGGAGCCACAGTAGCACCTGAGTTTCAGAACATGTGCAAGGGCAGGGACCACAATGGCTGCCTTCATATTTCCTGGTTCTGACTCTACTTTCACTTAGACTTATCTGCTTTACCTATTTGTTTAAAATAAGATGAATATTATTTTTGAAGTACAGAATGAATAGTCTGTAGAAAACATCTAGGCTCTAAAAGCATGTTAGTTAGACTGTATTGTTGCTATAGCTAAAAACTATTTTAAAATTGAGGTGCAATGAATATATAAACTTGACTTCTTTTAGGGTACATTCCCAATATTATTGTCTTGGGATGTGTACTTTTATTATCCATCATAAATTGCCAATGTATTTTTAGTCTAAAAGTGAGTGATTAATCACAAAATATTCTAAATATTATTCTCATCTCAATACATATCTCAGTACTACATATACAGTCTTTAACAGTCATAATTTTATGTATATATATGTATATATGCAGTTTTCAATATTTGAAATTAATACCACTGATAATGTCACAATTATTTATCTTACAGGTAATTGTATCACAATTATATTTAAATCATCTCTTAATTGTTGTGATACACACATACACACATATATATATGAGCTGTATATGGATATTTATGCTGAAATGAACATCCCTTTATAACATTACAGTCAAAGATAATCTCATCATGATTATGTCACATTGTAGACTTATGTAACTAGAGGTAGTTAGTGAATAAACACTGAGATACATTTTAATTGAAATGTACTCTAACTGCTGTAATTTATACTCAGTTCTTGATTATTTACGTACCTCTTGCTTTTTAATTGTCACCAAACTAAACTCAAAGGATGTATTATTATATGCCCATGAGAAAGAGATATTAAGCACACATAGACATATTTGACACCAAATCATAAATTAGACATAATAGTATGAAAACACTAAGAGCACCTTTAATTGGAAACATACAGACTCTAAACAAGTCATAAGTAACCATGCAAATTCAACAGGAAAATATATGCTTTCACTAACTTAGTTTAATTAAATAATTTCCAACTTATTTTAGCTTTTAATTTTCTAGTTTATGAGGTTAAATAATATCTTTTTTATTAAATTTTCAATTTATTTTACATACCAACCACAGTTTCCCCTCCCTCCTCTCCTTCCGCTCCCTGCCACACACACCTCCTTTCTAACCACACACCCAGTCCACTCCTCAGGGTAAGGGAGTAATGAGAGTCAACAAAAGATGGCATATCGAGTTGAGACAGTACCAGGCTCCTATTCACTGCATCGAGGCTGAATGAGGCATGCCAACATAGGGAATGGGTTCCAAAAAGCCAGCTCATGTGCCAGGAGCAGATCCTGGTCCCACAGCTAGGGGCCCCACAAACAGACCAAGCTACACAACTGTCACCCACATGCAGAGGGCCTAGGTCATTCCCGTACAGGTTCCCTAGCTGTGAGTTGAGAGCCCATGAGCTCCCACAAGCTCAGGTAAACGCTGTCTCTATGGGTTTCCCCAATCATGATCCTGCTTATACAATCCCTCCTCCCTCTCTTCAACTGGACTCACTGAGCTCGGCCCAGTGCTTGCCTGTGGTTCTCTGCATCTGCTTCTATGGATGAAGGTTCTATGATGACAATTAGGGTAGTCACCAATCTGATTACAGGAGAAGGCCAGTTCAGGCACCCTCTCCACTATTGCTAGGAGTCTTAACTGGGGTCATCCATGTGGATTCTTGGGAGATTCTCTGGCACCAAGTTTCTCCCTGACCCCATCATGGCCCCCTCTCTCAAGATATCTCTTTAGTTGCTTTCCTTCTTTGTCCCTCACCCAACTCCACCATCCAGATCCCTCATGTTCCTAACCCCACCCCCTCAACTCTACCCTCCCACACCCCCAGTCTACCCAGGAGATCTCATCTATTTCTCTTCCCAGGGTGATCCATACTTTCCTCTTAGGTCCTCCTTGTTATCTAGTTTTTCTAGGGTTGTGGGTTGTAGCCTAGTTATCCTTTGCTTTCCATCTACTATCCACTTATGAGTGAGTACATACCATGTTTGTCTTTCTGGATCTGGGTCACCTCACTCAGGTTGACTTTTTCTAGTTCCATCTCACAGGCTGTTGAATCACAGTTATATTTAATGTCTCTCGTACAAGTCATGATACTATTTCTTTTCTTCTTTCTTCAAACTTATTATTTCTTACTGGTACCATCATTGACTCATTCTTATTCTCTGAGTATTGGATCAGTCTTTACCTTTTTTTTCTTTTGAAATCTTAATTGTCCAATCTTATGATCTTAAAATACTTATTTTTAAACAATATTTTTATATATTATCTGAAAATTTCACACATGTACATAACATTCTTAATCATAGTCTTTTTATTCCCCTTGCCAGCTCACCTTGCCCCTAACATACCTCTCTCCCAACTTCATGTCTTTTAAAATTTTTTATAAATGTTTTACTAATTCCTTGAGAATTTTAAACAATGTATTTTCCTCATGTTCACACTTAACTCCTCTTATATCCCTACATCTCAATCTCCCAACTGCATATCCTCTCTCATTTTCTTTTTAAAACAGAAAAATATAAGTGGCATCATACTTTTATTTACCTTTTAATTTAAATTCTTATTTTTCCAAAATACATGCCTAATTGCTGTATTAGCATCATTCCCACCATACCTTCTGTCTTCACTCAAACTCTTCCTGTTTACCCCCTACTTCTCAAATTCATTATTCTCTCTTCAAGTATTATTGTTAAATATATATTCTCACCTCTGTAATTTTTCTTTTTCTTTCTTTATTTTTACATATATACATTCATATAAATATATAAATAAGACCTCGTAAGTCCATTTCTTGTTTCTCTTGTGTGTATGTTTTAAGGATTGACCACCTGGGACTGGATAACCAGTTAGGAGACTCATCCCTTGGGAAGAGTGATTCTCCATCTCTCAACAGTCATTACTTTTCTCCTCATATAGGTGTGGAGCCTTGTGATCTTTCCCCTTCCACGTTGGCTTGTCAACTGGTGTCGTCACTGTTCAGGTCTAATTTAGGCTACCATATTACCGAGATTTCATGAATGTAATATCCCAGTCCTATATATAAGACAAAGTCTCACAGCAGATGCCCTGGTCTTCCAGGTCTTGTCTTAAAATCTTCCTGCCCCCTCTTGCGTGGTACGTCCTGAGCCTTGAGTGTTGCAATTTTTCTGTAGCTGTACAGGGGTTTGACCACTTATGAGATTCTAAGCACAATTATACTAGACGTGGATTTCATAAATGATCTCAGATAATCAATCTTATTACTTTATTGTTACTTATATCTGACTCCATGATGAGGAACAATACAAATCCTAGGACTCTGGGCAGAGAACACATTCCTCCATGAGCTTTGCCAATGTTCCTTCTCAGCACAGTGCTGGTGTGTGCTCAATCTCTGACTCTTCACCTAACATTGGGACCTTCTCTCCCTGGTTGTGTTCCTTCAAATCTGTTCCACCTCTGTGCTAAAATGTTCATCGGAGCTGACCTGCCTCTTAACTTTGGCAGCTGTTCTTGGCAGCCTAGTCAGCCATGAATATTATATATGGTTCAGCAAAAGGTTACATTTGCTAAACATGGCCAAACTTAAGAAATATAAAAGTAATCACTGTTAACCAATATTTTCGCTTCAACTTGAAAAATACTAATTAAATCAGGTCCCCATAGGGAATATTTTAGGACTGAAAAGCAACAAATGATGATGACAATAATAATAACATCTTGATTCAAAATATATAAATCAGACTTTCTATGTCTACCTCCTCCCAACAAAGGTCACCTCCCAACTCTCTCCCCTCCCTGAGAAACACTTAAGTTAACTAGAAAATGTCCAGATCTTTGTAATGTCCTCTTCTCATCCATCAATGCAGTTTACTTATATCCTACAGTTACTTATTTGCATTCTTGGTTTTAAATTTTGCTTTAAACTTCTGACTTTTCATTGCTCAGCTCTTTACTAAATCACCACTATTTGTATTTTTGTTACTTACATTCATCTCTATCTAAACAGATCTCTACTTTTAACATTGATCTACTACCTTGCCTTAAAATTGAAATTTTCTCTGTGACTTATTTTTAATTTATAAATCAGCTTGACTTAGAGGATATCTGCCTGACCCTATCAAGTTATCATTATTAAAGAAAATTTTCCTAAAATTGATGTGTATGATGTCCCAAACAGGAGTTTTCCTCCCAACCCTTTACCCATTAGGAATGGCTATAGCAAGAACTCGATGATCTCACTATAGAACTTGAATGCATCAAATGGTGTTCCTCATTAGATTTAAATAGCTAATAAAGATTTTATTTCAAAGTAACTTCTTTCACTCCTTGAGGTATAGACACATTTATTTCCAATGAGAATCCTCCTTCTCTCACCGTTTTTATTGCTAAATGTTAGATACACTTAATATGGTCTCAAAGCACAGTTATCCAAAAAATACTCCATCTCTCCTAATTTTCACTAAAGGATCAAAATATTTTTAAAATAAGGGGGGAGGAAAGCTTATTCTAGTCCTCAATTTATAATTACACAGTTTTTCCTCTGGAGATGCTGCTTAGAGGACTCTGCCTTAAGATGGTCACAGTTCAAGCCAGGCAGTGATGGCACACACTTTTAATCCCAGCACTCAGGAGGCAGAGGCAAGCAGATCTCTATGAATTCCAGGCCAGCCTGATATACAGAGCAAGGTCCAGGATAGGCTCCAAAGCTACACAAAGAAACCCTCTTTCGGAAAAAAAAAGTCACAGTTCAGAATGAATGGTAAAGAATCATACAGAAAATATATCAAATTATGAACATTTTTAGCTAGTCTGCAAGTGTATGAATGATTAACAGATATTGGTTTAATTATATATGAAGAAATCACCTGAACTACCCAAAGTCATAAATGGTAATACTTTCTCTACTTATAAACTATGCCTTTTAACTAGCATAAAGACAAAAATAAGCTAAGGAGCATCACTAAATTATACTCATTAGAATATGTATTTAGGAGAACGAAAGTGCTCCCCATGTTATAGTTACCTTTCAACTGCATGTACAATTTTCAGCAGTTAACCTGAAGGCAGGTAGAATTGAGCCTGAGTGACTTTCTAAAAATAAAATATATTGATCCTTTCACAGTGTGTCTGTACTCACAATATAAGACAACTGTGTAACTGTTCTCTTCGTTAGAGAAAGAGAAGTATATTTCTGTTCAGATTCTGTTAGAACACAGACTACTTACTCCTTCTCTCCCTCTTCCCCCTCCTCCTCCTCTTCTTCCCCTCTCCTCCTCCTCTCCTCCTTATTCTCCTCTTACTTACTCACCTCTTCCTCTATTCCCTTACTCTCTCATTTTTGCTTCCACTCCTACCTCCCTCAGTGCCTCCTTTCCTCTCTTCTTTATTTTCTAGACTGAAATTTAAAGCCTGACCATAGCAAGAAATACTTTTTTTCAGAAATCCTTTCAACCTATAGAGAATATGAGAAGGTTCGGCGTCTTCAGTGGCCTCTTCTCTCATCTGTCTCATCTGTAGCCTTACCTTCTCTGGATAAAACTTACATATGATCTTTCTCTAACCTCTGCTCTGGGTCTCAAGGGACACAAACAAGCCCCACTTATGTTCTAGACATTCTTTTTCTCATTTGGCATGAAGAATTTAATTACCAGTTTTTACAGTAGGAAATTAAACACACTTTGTGGTAAAGCCTAAATTTTATAAGAGCCACACATGGATTAGAGAAGCAAGACATGAGTGAACATAAAATGCCAGAAGTTATAATAGCCAGACAGATTCCAGTTGCTGGATTCCTTTAAATAAGAAAACAACTCCTTAGGAGTAGTATATCCATTAATGCAGGGACCATGGCAAATGCGGCATTTCTTCTATTATATCTTCCAGTTGGTAAAACTGCCTGAAGAAGGCAAGAGTAATCAATGGGTGGCCTGAATCCCATAACAATCACAGACTTTGTCATATTCAGAAACCTATCCCGTTCATCTACTTGTACTGGAATGATTTCATATGCATGTTTAAGTTTCTCCTAAAGGAAAACCACAAGGAGGAAAAACACCAGCAAAGAAATCACCTGGTGGCTCTGCAGACACATCACCCACACCAACAGCACCAGGACCACCTAAGCCAGGATCAGAAGAGTGGATCTACGTGAATGAGCCTATACCCGAGGTACGGCAACCTTCTCATGAAAAGAATAGAATAATTTATCCTTTTAACATCAAGTGTTGCCACATTTGTAACACCTAACAATCCTTCTGAAGTCAGGACTGTGTATCTATTTATCAAAAACTGAGATAAGCCTGGAGTTGCAGCTCATTGGTAGAGTGCAGAAGATTCTGGATTCCATCCACAGTATTGAAGTGGGGGAAAGAGTGAGAAATTTGCTAGAGGCTTGTCAGTGAACTGCATTTCAATTTCTCCTGTGGATTTGAGTTTCTGGGTCATACTTTGAAACTGCTCTTGAGTATTGAGCTCGGGAGAACAAATAGCTTCTGTGAGTACCAATTTTCTCCCTGAGGACAAGCAGAGATGCAGTTTCCTAGAAGCATGACTTCTGCTGCATACATACCCAGCAAATTTACAGTCCCCCATCCATGCATAAATGCTTCAAGATGAAGCATAATACTTCCAGATGAAATTTAATCTCTGACATTTTAGAAAAGGAAAGCAACATATGAATCTAACTAAACCTTAAGACAGCTACCTGCCCAGAGAACTCATAATAAGTATACTAGACAAGGAGGTACACAAAGAGCCATTTTCCTATGACAGAGGTAAAGCACTTGTTACCTGGACCTGGGGCTTCAAAAGATAAATCAGTGAACTTGGGGAAATCACACACTTTTTTTCCTAATACAAGACAAGGACATGTTTATAAGAATAAGTTCCATCTTTTTATTTTTTATTCCAGTCCACACTGGTCTCTTGCACTGATAAACTCATCAAGGTCCATCTGTATCAGGCATCTGAGAGCCACACATTGACTGCAGGAGTTGTGTTGCAGTTGTTATTAATCCCCTCTGGGGATGTTTAATCCCACATGTTAGGCTGTAAATTCTTTGGGGAGAGAATATGTAGCATATGGGAAAACCAGACATCGTCAACAGTATGTGACATATTCTTAATAGATTTCTGATTAATTAACGAGTCTCATGGGTAAAATTGGAAAATATTTAAATATGAAACATTTAAATAATATGTTCATGTATGTATGTATGTATGTATGCTCATATATAATGGGTGTCACTCACCCAAGAAGAAGCTACCTCAAATGTATACAGACAGAGAGAGACACAGAAACAGAAGAGAAGGAGTCTGACGGAACAAAGTATAATCATTATTGGGTATTGGGTGGGGAGTGAAAAACAAAAATACTCAAATTTTATCCCTTGGGATTGCTCAAAGGAAATAACACTATAGCAGACAAATGTTAAAATAAAAAATCATTAATATTGAGATAGGATATAAGTCCACATGCATAAATCTTGGGATGGACTCTTGTAAGAAGCAGATGAATGTCAAGGAAAGAAAATGGAACAGTGTTTACAAGTATATCATCCATACATTGGGAAATATACAAAGGTGAGGCTTGAACATTCACAGCAAGGGACAGTTGAGAGTCACTGTGAACTTAATGCTTAAGAGTGGGGGGGGGGAAGCACAAGACCTCCTTGATCTCAAGAGGATGTCTACACAGAGAGGGTCATGTGACTCAAGATACAGCCCTCGCATGGGGTTCCTACAGGAACCACCAGAGAAGAATAGAATATTTTTGTCAAGAAATAGAGAAAGGGAACTTTGCTGAAGCTGTTTAGATCACCAAACAAGGTAGAGAGAAGCAGAAGGGCCAGAGAAGAGGGATATAATGAAGACACATGAGCTTATGTTGCTTATTTTGATTTTTTTTTTAAGACAGGGTTTCTCCATGTTGTTTTGGTACCTGTCCTGGATCTCACTGGATAGACCAGGCTGGCCTCAAACTCACAGAGATCTGCCTGCCTGCCTCTGCTTCCCGAGTGCTGGGATTAAGGGTGTACACCAGCAACTCCGGCTTTACTTAGTCATTTATAACCGAGTAACCTTTTCTCCTCTCCCACCAGAATATAAGCTCCCAAGGCTAGGGGAATCTGGCTTATTCAATGGAAAATGCCTTTTTTCTAAAGCAATGATATGTAGGGTGACTAAACCCTCAATGATTCCCTTGTGATCAGCTTAGGAATACCTGGTAAGGCACTTAAGTAATGATAGAACAGGTTGGATCTGTTCTCGGTCCAGCATTGCTCTGTCTTCACCAATAAGACTCAGTCTGGTGATGTTTATCAAGTAGTCATAGCAAAGGCAATAGGAGCATGGGCTTTTCTTCTCCAAATGCCACAGTGAAGCCTGAGATGCAGAAAATACAGGAAAGCAATTTTCCACTCAACAAAGAAAAAAACTTATTCAATGACATGCTTGGTGTGACAGCAGAAGATTCTGTCTGGAAATGTCATCTTTAATGTATCCATGAGATTCACGCAGCTATTAAAAAAGTTTCTAGTATTTAGAATTTTGTAATTGAAGAAAAAATTAACCCAGATAATTTGTAAGTACCTCATGGACGATGTTTGAGTAAATAAGTGTATAGTCATAAAAAAGGATAATTATATATCAAGTTTATATTCAATATAATGTATACTTTTAATTTTATTTCATTTGCATTGGTTTTATATTTGATTGCTTGTTTGCATGATTGGAGATAACATAAGAAAAACTTTCTGAGTCCCACATAATACATAGCAAGTAAAGATTGTCCTGGTGGAAGGCAACAGAAACAACTTGTTCCAACCCTGACAGGAACACAAAGTGTTCGTCAAACAAGACAGTTTTCCAGCTGAGGCAAATGTAAGAAATCATTCATTCATTCAAGTCTTTGAGGACTTGCCAGGTCCCACATACAATGTGATTATATGGAAAAACTGATCAAGACCACGGCAGCCCCTGGCTGAACAGTGCTGGTATTCTAGAACAAAGCACAAACAGAATTAATGTTGCCAATATTATAATAACTGGAGTGCAGGATGCTAAGACAGAGCCTCAGAGGATCTGGGGATAACCTTGTAAACTGATTGGGCCAGGGAAGGATTTCTACAAGAAATAATGTCTGTGCTAAGACATGCAGATTATCTGGAAGAGGAAATATCTTCTGGAGACGGATGAAGACTAAAACATTCCAGAAGGTGTGCTCCGGGCAGTTGCAGTTGGGACTTGCTCTTGATTACGAGTGTTCTTTTGACCCAGCTAGTCTGAGAATTTTCATTTTCAGAAACACTGACTTCTATGCTTTACTGTTTAACAGGAATTGCCTTCCTTTTTAGTACCTTACTGGGAACTGATAGAGAAATCCTACATAAACCACATCAAAACCGTACTTCGGTATCTTAGAGAAAACCAACACACTATACTTTCTTATTTATATGAAACTAGGTAAGTAAAGTCCCCAAAGTCAGAATTTTGTCATGATTAGGTAGGACAAGGAACCATCTCATTCCCTTCCTTACTTACAGAACAAGTTTCAAGGAGTTTCTAAGGCGTCCAGATCACAAGCAAAATTTTGTATCTCAGTGGCAGACTGATTTCAACTCTGTTCCTGAAGACCTGTGGGAAGATGAGGAGACCAAGGCTGAACTACACCAAAGAGTGAATGTAAGGACTGCTATGACCCGCTGGGCCAGGGTCGCCTCACTTTCATCTCCTCACCTGTACCCCCACTCCATTCCCCTTTCTGTCTTTGGGGATGAAAGCATTAGAAATTAGATTTGAACTTTGACCCAGTCATTAGTAACTCCACAAAGGACTGGCTGCTCTGCATTTTGGGTTCAGAATTCATATATGGCACAGTTCTGAGAAGAGGAGCTGGCATCAACATTGCAGGAGCAATCTTGGTATCTGCTTTGCAGACTGTCTTCATGTCTGTTGGTCCACCTACTTGTGGCTGCACCTCATGTTATTACATGCCCATCCTGAATCTAGTTACACAGCCTAATAGCAGCCAGAAAGAAAATGGGGACAACCCATACTTGCCTCTATTGCCTAGATCTTTTGAAGTCTGTTGACATATTATACATATGTTTATATCTCTATCAGGTACAGTAATTAGAAGTTGGAAGGCAGGTGGATATGTTTTTTTTTTTCTTTTTGTAAGTTCACAAGTCAAGTGTATTACCTTGATGTTTTAGGGAAGGGCTTCTAGTGCACAAGAACCTCCATTCAGTTTTGTAGGCTTCATGGCCCATGTGTAAATTGACACCCTCCCAAGTCCCATCAGAACGATGCCTTGAGCCTATCTTATGTATTGGTTACAAAGAGTCAAATATTATTGTGATCTTGTGTGACACTGTTCCTCAGGAAATGTGTCTAGATAGGGAATCCAGAACAAAAGTAAGGATGCTACCACAGCCCAGCTTGGTAAGCTATTGTGGTTCCTTCCAGGAGTATTGGTGAGGGGTTCCTTACAGGAGTATAATTGACACAAAGGTCATTTGGATTGAAAGCTTACCCAGCATGAGTGATGGCTCACAAAACCTGGAAACCTGGAGCTCACTGCATAACTTGCCAGCAGCTTGACAGGTTCGAGAGTGTCTCTTCCAGGTGACTCGATCTCTCTCTGCCTCTTTTAGGCAGTTTGAATTGTCGGAGCCTCTCCTAGGCAGTATGACTGACTTGCCTGTTCCAAGTTGGGCATGCCTTTCAATAGTCCCTTGTGCTTTTATAAGCTTGAGGATAGGTAGTTTGATGTATTTGGACAGTTTCGGGGACTTCTTTTAAAAATATTATTCCTTGAGGATTTCATATAGCATATTTCTCTCAACTCTCCTTAACTTCATCAAGATCCCTACCACCCTAACTCGCACAAATTATCTTCTTTTATTAAATTCAATTTGCACTGTCTCCTATGCTTCTGAGTATGGGCCATAACCGGAGCATGGTCAAACTATCAGGAGACATACCCCTAGAGAAAACAGACTCTCCTTCCTCCAGAAGCCACCAATTGTCCATAGAAATTCAGTCTGGGGTGGGAGCTCATGAACCCCAACTCCATGCTAGACTTTTAATTGGCTTGATCTTGTGTAGGTCTTGTGCAGTCAACCACAGCTGCTGTGAGCTTTTTGAGTACAAAAGTTCTGTCGTGTCCAGAAAACACTAATTTGTTCCAGTCCTCCCCAACTTCTGGCTCTTACAGTCTTTCTACAGTCTCTCCTGCAATACTCCGGAAGCTATTGGATGGAGCTGTGATGTGAATGTAGCTCATGGTGTTCACAGCTGGATAAAGTTATTAATGGCATTTTTTCCTCCAGCAGTCTACACAGCATCTTTTAGTACTATGAGAGCTCGCTTGAAGGGAAGATGCTTCCTGGTCAATGCTGACTTGGTTTCTCTAGGTCCTGTGGACTAATAAAGGTGGTGTCTTCAGCAGTAGGGTCTTACTGTCAAGTTCTGGTCAGCATCTAAGAGCAATGACAATGACCTGTATTGTTTGGGGGAGGGGAGCTCTCGGACACCTTAGTTTGAGGGACTTCTCCAGGCTTCTGGGTTGTTTACTTCCTGAATTTTAATGAGCCTTCATTTAGAATTTCCTGACTCTAAGGAGCTGAGTTTCTCTACAAGATGGAATATTTCACCCCCTTTAGAACATCTTGAGTGAGTTAGTTTGTTTGAGGCAAGATCTCACTATATAGCCTTAGAAGGTCTAAAGCTCACTGTGTTGACCAGGCTGACTTCAAACTCACATAGATTCACCTGCCTCTACCTCCCAAGTGCTGGGATTAATGGTCTGTGCACCACACCTGACCTCGAATATCCTGAGTCTTAACCATCGTCCTTCCAAGATCAAATGTATCAACTGGTAGGAGATTTCTATACAGGATATCTCTATATTCATTTGTGTAACAAACATATTGACAAACTCTACCCCAGTGTTCATCATTTGTTCAGGAAATATTAAAGCATTTATTATGTCCACAGCGCTAGGGTTTAACAGGTAAAAACAAAGTCTGCGACTCCAAAATATTTTCATGCTGGTAGCCAGGAGACAGAATAATAAAAAACAATAACCATAAGGTGAGTGTATTGTTATGTTTGTTTTGTAAATCTATGATGGCATCAAGGAAACAGGTAAGAAGCTGAAGCATTTCTGTAACTATTTTGCTTGTTGTGGATGTGGAAATCCTGCTTAGAGACATTTGAATGGACTGAGGGCAGGGATACTGTAGTGAACCACATGCTTATGTGGAGGAAGGTTTATCAGGGAGAGTGAGGAACAAAGGCAGAGAGATCAGGAGGAGTCTTGACGTGTGTGGAGGCTACCAAGAAGCAGAGAGCAAAGTGAGCATAGACAAGAGGGCTGCTGATGAGGTCACAGGGATTGTGTGGGACCATATTAGCTAAGGCCTGGGGTCATTTTATAGTATTGACAGGAAGCCTTGATTTATGGCTTTAAAAGCTCCTGTAGGGAAGTGATAGATCAGGAAGACCAGTTGGGAAACCTATTTGTGATCTCTCACAAAAATGGCAAGGCAGCATCATGGCTTCAATGATGGGGAGGTGCCAAAGGCTTTAACCTAAGAGGTGTTCATCTGTTACCTATTCTTTAACATTCCACAAAATCAGGCATCTAAGCAGGGAAGTGGTGGCACATGCCTTTAATCCCAGCACTTGGAAGACAAAGGCAGGCAGAAGTCTGTGAGTTTGAGGCTAGCCTGGTATACAAAGCAAGTTCCAGGAGAGCCAGAGCTACACAAAGAAAACCTGTCTCAAGGGGGAAAAAATCATGCATCTAAGTAAATCCTACAACTGCTTTTTGTTTCTATCTTTTGCCCACCCATTCATGAATTCAGCCTTAAAGTGGCTCTCCTGTATTTCTCTTTCTCATAGTAGATGGTTGCTGGCAGAGAATGAGGAAATTTGGTAGTCCAAATATGTCATTTGTTTCTTTTGTTCCTTTTCTAAATCCAAATGCATCATATTTTTCTTATAGATTAATTAGATAATGAGTAGAAATTATAAAAAATACATAATCTCTGCCAATAAGAGCCACTATTATTACCTGGGTATATTCAATATATTTACCACTCCTAATTATTTTCAAAAAATGGTAGCATATTATACATATTGCTCTTCTCCATTTTTCATTCATCAATACATTAAAGTTTTAATGAATAAAATTTCATCTACAACATTTTTATGACTAAAGTGCATGAGTAGTGAACATTATAATTTGTTGAAGATGTCTCCATCATTAATCATATTTCACTAAAATGTTATGTGCCAATTTTTAATATAAAATTATTACATAAAATTTCAACCAACTACATACCTCCGACACAATTAATAATAAACAATTTTCTTGGGCTAATTTTTAAGAACATAAATAAAAAGTAAAATCATTGAATGAAAGATTATGCTTATATTTAATATGTTTGAGACATATTGAGAACTTACAAATTCCTATTTTAATTTAATAAAAAGTTAAAATTTTTAGTTTAAAAATTAACAATAGACAGTTCAATTTTACTTTAAGCAACAGGTAATGTGAATGCATTCAATATTAATTCTATCATATTTAAATGTTTGCCAACTTAGCAGGTAAAATATTAATTTTCTTAAAATTTGTATTTTTCCTTTTGGATTTGAAGTTAGCCTTTCTTCCTTGTTTAATGGCCATTGATTTTCTTTCTTCCGGATCTTGATTGTGATTCCTACTAACTTTTCTGCTGAAATCGGCTCTCTTTCTTGATTAGTATGTCTTTTTTATATATTATGGATAAATACCATTCATTGATGGTATATTATAAATATATTCCCAGTTTGATTTTGATTATTTGAGGTGAATTTTTATGCAGAAAGTTTTTAGTGTTTATGTAAATAAAAATATAAATTTTCATTATTGTATCTTTACTGGCCAATTTAAAAATATTCCAACCTAAAGTTAAATATAACTTAACCTTTATTTTCACTATTTTTATAGCTTCACATTTTACTTTTAAATATTTAAAATAAATAACTATAAATTCATTTAATTGTTTACAAAAAGCTAGACAAATATTTTAAGATGACCCTCAAAGATGTCAGCATTGGATAACATATACATGTGTGTATGTATGATACATCTATATAAAAATATATATAGTGTATGTGTGTGAAAGAAAGCATTTATTTACTTGGAATAACTTTGTCTGAATATGTGAAAGAATATATATATATAAAATATAGTTTCAAGAAGAATACAGAAATTAAACTTGAGAAATGAATTAATGAGAATAGAAAACATAACTTGACTACTTGGCAAATAAGGAAAATAAACATTAAAATTAAAATATCAACCCAGATCTCAGGCCAAAATATTGCTGGCAAGCATGGCCTGGCAGGAACAAGACAACGCATACTCTTTTGACAAAACTTTTATTATTAGGATATATTCATGAATTCTAGGAACCAAGTATGATTTCTACTTGAAAGGTTCGATATATTTGAACTTAAACACTAAGTCCAAAACACTAAGACTTTGAAACAGTAGATCCTCAGCAGGAATACACAGTAGGGAAAATGGTAAAGCCTAACAAAACTTCCTTCCCTTGACGGCACGAAGAGTTAAAGTTAGGTTGGAGATGAGGCTATCGTACATCCATTTTTTTTTTCTTTTGGTTTTTTAAGACAGGGTTTCTCTGTGTAGCCTTGGAACTATATAGATCAGGCTAGCCCAAATCCAAATCTGCCTTCCTGTGCCTCCCAAGTGCTGGGATTAACGGCTTGCACCACCACACCAGACTTCAGATCCATTTTGTAAACGCAGTATCCATAATGGTGGTTGAAAAACCAGCTCTATCCTGTCACATTTTTGTAGTTTATATGTAGATGATCTTGAAGAAAAGAAACGCTGAAACTGCTGTCACTAAGATATTTGCATCCTTTTCTCTGCTACAGTCTTGACACAGTGATTGTATAATGCAGCAACAGTCGTTTCTAAATACTGAGCATGCTCTAGTTGCGGCCACTGTCTAATTTTATCTGCACATCAATGATCCTAGGTACTCGCCAGTAACCATCACATTCCATGGGTGAAAAGATATGGCAATGAGATTAGCGTGATACTTGGCAGCAGCAACGTCATCTATGTCCAAGGATCTATCCTCCTCCATTAAACTGTTTCTCTGAGGAAGGATGATTGGACACATGAAGACAGAATGATAAGGTGTATCTGCCTAGAAACAATTTAACAACCACAACAGCCTCTTAAGCACTTTCCATCTCCAATTCTTCTTTTATCTACTATCTATTCTGATGCATAACATAATGCTATTCATTACTGGCCCAAAGATTCACATCCTAGCTTCACCATTTACTTACCCAAGGAAAATGCCTTCCCTATTCCCAGTGTCCTCTTATAAAAATAAAGATAATGAGCCACCTCATGTTGCTTTCAGTCATTTAATAGGTGATGCAAATATGTCAACAACACATTTAAGAAAAATCCAATACACAGAACCACTATAATTTTGACATTATAATTTTTGCATACTTATATATAAATTGTAAAATAAATGAAATATCTCTGAATGCCCATATTATAGGTCAATTACAATGTATAAATATTTTGCTATACATTGTCCTATTCATATTCTTTCTTACTATTCTTAACCTGATATGCTGCTGAGCTGTTGCCGAGCATCCCATCAATCTCAAACATTTTTCTGGTAAACGATGCCCTATCTCTGATAGTGAACAAACTAAGGTCCTTGGTTCAAATACAATGTTGTATTTTTTTCCACCAGCAATACACAGATTTTTTTATTTAAATAAAATGATTTTCAACCAAACAAGTTTATTAACAAAAAGTCAACACACAAATAGAGCCACCCATGGATAATGTGATGGGAATGGATTTATGAGAACTATGGGCATATGATCTGAGAGAGATAGAGATGTGATTGCTGTCTGAATAAATGAATCTAACACATGAACTTGTCAGGCATGGTTTGCTGCTGGAGGGCTTCTCTCCAGGTTCCCCAAGCCCCACAGTCCCACAATCCACTTATAAAATAATCACTCAGACACTTATATCACTTATAAACTGTATGGCTGTGGCAGGCTTCTTGTTAACTGTTCTTTTATCTTAAATTAACCCATTTTTATAAATCTATACCTTGCCACGTGGCAGGTGGCTTACCAGAGTCTTTACATGCTACTTGTCCTGGCGGTGGCTGCAGTGTCTCCCTCCTCAGCCTTCTGCTTCCCCGAATTCTCCTCTTTCCTTGTCCCACATACTTCCTGCCTGGCAACCTACTTCCTGCCTGGTCACTGGCCATCAGTGTTTTATTTATATAGAGCAATATCCACAGCAATGGTTCCTTTAGAGATATCTCCAGAGGGAAAAAAAATCTCAGGTGCATGGTACCGAAGCTGCACAAGGCATGACTCCCACGCACAGTCACGCTGTTTCTCTTTCCACTCAGGATCTACGAGACCGCCTGTGGGACATCTGTGATGCCAGGAAGGAAGAGGCGGAGCAAGAGAGGCTTGATATCATTAATGAGAGCTGGCTGCAGGACTCTGTTGGAATAACAATGAATCACTTCTTTTCCCTGATGCAGGTAGGAGCAGCCAGACACAGTGACACAGACTCCCTTTGCAGCCTTATTCCTCATGGAACAACTCCTTTGGGAATGTTAGGGGTCTACTCAGGCATCACTTTGCTCATAACACCCTGAGTGGTATGCATTCTCTACCTGGTATGCATTCTGGCTTGCCAAGAAAATTAGCCAAGAAAAATTGTGTTTTTATCCCAGCCAAGCAACCACACAGACAGTGTATCTCAAGCAGATACTTGCCATTTCTGCTTCCCTGTGTTTGTTCTGCGAGACTGCAGCAGGGATGCTGTCTGCAACTGAGATGTTTACTTGATCAGACCCGCAAATACTTAAAGGTGGCCAGCCACCTTAGTTCAAGAGAGCTGCCCTGCCATAACTTCTGGGATACAATAAAACCATGGGTACAATTGCTGTGACAAGGAAAGAAAGTGCTGACTAGCCTTTAGCTGACAAATCCCTCAAAACAGTGCCTACAGATAGGTTTCAAGAGATCAAGGGTTGAGGCAGGATCAGGGGTGAGATCAGTTGTCTTTGTAATGTTTATGCTTTTAATTATATGCATCAGCGTGTAGCTTTGGGCACCTGCTCAGTGTCTGTGTAGACAAGAAGAAAACTTTGGATCCCCCTGAGAGTTGGGGTTTTTGGCAGCTGTGAGCCACCTAATGTAGATCCTGAGAACTCTAGTCCTCTGAATGGGTGGTACACTCTTTTAATCCTGAGACACCTCGCCAGCCCCAGTTGTGTTTATTAATTGAACCTCCTCCTATCTTCATTGTAGGAGATAGGTTTACAACTGAAGACATCCACAGAAGTTACTTTCCTTCCCTCATATGGGAGCCTTGAATGCAATCTGCCTTGAGAAATAACTGTACTTCAAAGACAGTTTTCAGAGCTAGAGGAAGGCACTCCTTAGTTACAAAACTGATAAAAGGCCTGTCTTAAAATGTATTTCAAAAACACAGACAAAAAGCTTTGCAATGGACTAGTTCCCTAAAGTACTGATGGAGGCCAGGGGCTGAGTTTGGGAAAAGCCTGTCTAAAATTATTCATGTTTAGGGGACTGTCAAGGCTATCTTGGTCAAACCATGCTTAATTTTTGTTGACAGGAGAATAGTTAAGAGGGAGAACGAATGAATGAATGAATCATCTATAATTGATTAACTTAGAAGATACGTTAGGAGATGTTAAAATATCTCTGCTTATATCTTTTACTTAGACATAGTAGGTGTTCAGAAAATCTCCTTTAAACAGATAACCCATTCATTCTAGTAATCCTAGCCTTCAAAGGGACAATCCCAGCTCTATGGGCAGGTCTGAAAAGTCAACAGAAACCTGAAGAACACAAAAGCCTCAGGAATTATAGCAGCCCCCACCTTACTATTTCCCTTTCCATGGTTTCATTTGCTTTTATTTGACAACAGGTATGTGTATGGGGGGGTTGTTTTGCTTTTCTGTTAAAATATAACTAACCTACTGATCTTCTCATCAATTTATTTGATAGATGAATTGATTTTTTACTGTTTTAGATCCTCTGAAACTTCTTCTGCAATGAATGCTAAATCCATGTTCCCTCTCCATCCACTCCCATCTGGCCTGAAATAAACTGTCTCCCACATTCTATAGGGCAAAACTGTGCTTTGTATCAACAGTGATGAAGTAAATCTTTTGGTGTTCTATTTTGCAACATTTTATTCTGCTTTATCCCACTTGGAATGAAAAATTGTCCCCTTTCATTTCATCAACACTGTATATTCTCTCTTTCCATTATTCACTGTCCAGTTTACCAGATCATCCACTATGGTTTCAAAATGTTTTTGTTTAAGTATCCCTTATGCTGGAATCTAAAGCTGTCATGATGCCTCAACAATTCATTTCATGTTGTTTTTATGGCATGGCCATTGCAGTCATCTTATCTCTATACAAAAAAATGAAATATAGCACAACAGATTCTTTGGGCAAATCTATGGTTATATCACTTTCATTACAGTATACTGTTACATATTCTATTATTAATTCTCAGTATGTCTGATTCAGACTTTCTCAAATGATATGAGTGCATACAAACAAAGGTATTTGTCAGGTGTTAAATAAAGGACTAGGAATGAAGAAGAACTATATTTTTTCCAAGTGGGAGGTTTAGAGAAATCAGGATATCAGAACAAGAAAAACTATGAAGGCGTGTTAGAATGCTGGATCATGAAGATAAGATAGATTCAAAAGAGTTTCAACCAAAGGACAACATGGAGACATTGTTAAGCATATTATTAAGTGTATTAAGGTGTCCACTTAGCATCATAATGCATAGTTTACACAAAGGACTAAGTAAAGTGCCCAACTAGCCTAAAGTCATCTGAGAAGAAGCTTGGGACACCAGTTTGAACAAGTAGAGAGAAAACATTATGAACAGGTTTTTACCAAATGCTTATGGAAAAAGTAGCTACAATCCAATAATGAAGGTACAACAGACTTTCATGAGTCACTTTCATGAGTCAGAGCCATAAATGACTCCTGTGGAACAGGTAAGACTCTAACAGTTCATTAATATGTAGATTTGAGGTTCTTATCCTGAGACATTGAACCAATGCCCACATCAGACAAAATAAAATAAGGTAGCATAGCAGAGTACATGCTGGGCACTTCTCTCAGAAATTTCCACTAGAACACTGTAAACTGTCACAACAGCACTATGCTGAAGGTTCGAGTGTCATCCTCATTCCATAGATAAGGAAACTGAAGAGAATGGGGTGGAACTATTGGCCCAATCATTGCATCTAGACTGAGCGTGACTGCAGACTCAGTATTCCTTCTGGAACACTACTATGTCAACAACATTGTCCGAACTGTTCAGCTTCATGAATAGAACACAAAGAGCTTTGTTTGGCACTGCTCAATAAACCCTGTAAAAACCAACTGTGGACATGCTCACGAGTAACTATCATCTCAGCGCATGGAGAAAGAACATGATGATGGGACAACCCATCAACTACTAGACCGTTGAGGCGGCCTGCATTTTGTCCAAGACGCTCAAAATCAGAAGCCTTATTAATGTTTGTCAAGGACAGAAGGTAATAAGCCTTGAGCAAAGCTTCAGTTCCATGTGCTATCTCACAAACGGCTAGATAATGGCTTCCAAAAGTGGGTTCTCTGGAAACTTGCCTTCCAAGCTGTTCCAGAAAATGTTGCAATTACATAAGTGACTTTGGGAAGTGCTGCATGATTCTACCTATCCTCCTCTCTGGGAGATTGATGAGCCTGCTGACATATTTAGAAACTAAGATGCTCCACAAATAAAGAAATCATTTTGGCACATTAATGTTCAGTTTCGTAACTTGCTTGACCTTGGGAAGTTTTTGCTTGTTCATTTCAACAAGATATTCATGCACAGCCTCTGCAACAAGTTCTCCACACAGTAAAGTTTAGAAATGCTTTTCTAAGCTGGCACTGGTGCAAAAACCTGTAAGTCACACCTACCCAAGAGGCTGAGGGAGGAGGATCACAAGATCAGGGCCTACAGGCAAACAGGCAGGTCATGGTTAGTCTGGGAAATGTAATAAGATCCCATCTCAAAAATAAATAAAAAAGGGAGGCTTGGCATATTGACCAACCATAAAGTAAAAGTACTTGTTTAGAATGCAGGAGGTCCTAGGTTCAATCCAGAATACCACACAAAAAGAAAAGCAAAATCTGAAACTCCAGCAGCGAAGAAGCCACGTCACACAGGGTTATTTACTTGTTGTAAATGTAAGGGGAACCCTGATTAATTTTTCTTAAAGGAGAATTCTGAATATGTGTGGTATCCTCTTCAAATTTGTTTATATTTTGAATCAAGTTGTTCCCCTTAAGATGAGTTAATATTTTATACAAAGAAGTTACTATAATAAGAAAAGTCCTAGGGACAGATCCCAGGACAGTTTCAAATACTGACTCTATAAACTACAGTCTCCCAAACTTAGTGATTAATGAAGAATTCAGTGTTCTAAGTTACAGAAGAAACACTTTCCAGGTTTATCACTTTATTTGCCCAATAGTATTGATTCAGTGACTAATAGCTTTTTGTAAATGCCCCCCACACTTATCTTCAATTTTCCAAAATTAATTGTTAATATTCAATATGTACATAATAAGTTTAGATTTGCATCTTATTCGTTGTAAATGTGATATTGTGTGAGTTCCCATGTGTATAATGTAATCAAACAATCTTCCATGCAGTTTTACAAAACTGAAAATTTACCATACCAATAATTTTTATTAAACTGTGGGGCAATTCTGTGTAAGAATATTTTAATTCAATGATAAAGAAAAATCTATGGCTTTCATGGCCACTTGAAAGTACTGTGCTCATATGTAAAACATCCTAAAATTTAAAATAATATATAAATGTTAGCCTTATTTTATAATATAGACTCCAAGTAAATGGATGAATTTCCACTTCTTTAAGATATTTAGCTAGAAGGGTTTAATATTGCAAAAAGCAGAAACAATCCATCTATCATTTTCTCTATAAAACAATCTTATTTCACCTGTTACTTTTTTATTGTATACTACTATGCGAAAGCAGGCATCCCTTCATTGTCAATAGTCAATTTGGTAATGCAAGTCTATTTCTGAATAGTTTAGAAACATGTTTTTCTTTATCCTTCTCTCATATGATGCATTCCGACCGCAGCCTCCCATTCCCTCTCGCTACCTCCCTTTTCCCCCAGATCCACTGCTCCTCCCTTCAGAAAAGAGCAGGCCTCAAAGTGATATGGAATCCCTTTATTAATGTCCTTGGGCTACATTTAGAAAAAAAACTTTAAAAAAGATTTTTTTCCTTAAAAAAGAATGAGCGAGCGAGCGAGCGAGCGAGCGAGCAAGAAATCTAGCTCTTCAATGAACTAGTTTTGTGAATTACCTCTGCATAGAAGGCTCGACATTTATGGCTTCACATATGTGCTCACACAACCCCACCAACCAAGGAAAGTTGGGGATAATAGGTACCTCACCAAAAAGAAGGACCTACACACCACATGATGTAATAGAGAGAGAATCAGTTGGAAATCCAGGGTCTACATTTGTATCATGTTAGGGATGTTTAGGGACTCACAGTATATATGCCCAGTGCACGTGTGCCACCAGGGCAAACCTGAACTAACAAGGAGACGGCACACATGAATAATAGCTGATGGTTTTATAACCAAATCCTCTGAACTCCTCGACTTCCTCCAAGGTATCTTCTAGCCAAGCCAACAGAGGTGTGGAGCAGCAAAGACCAGAGAAGTTACGAGTTATGGCTATCCTGTTCACATTAAGCAAGACAGGAAACTGTACTGAGAGAATTATTGTTTCATTTTGTGCTCTTGTTTGTCCTGTTTCCACAAATAGTTCGTATTGCACCAGAGGAAACTAACCTAGCTGTTGGTTTCATTTTGTTCTCGTACATACAGCCTCTGTGGTACCCCAAGGCAACTGAGCTGTTGCTAGGACAAAGAAGTTACATCAGTGATGGAGGGAAGAATCAAATGCCCGTTATCAAGAGGTGTCAAACCGCCACCTGGTTAAATGGAATCACACTCAATAAACACATAGAATACAAAGTCGCTTGCTCTCTTAAATAGTTATGAAAACTTTAGGGACAGAGAAATAACCAAGTCTCTTTCTTAATTTCTAGAAAATTACTTTCAACCAACATGTTTTAAAATTTCTATTTACAGTATACATAGATGTCACAGAAATACATACAGATTAGTCTGCTCTAAATTGGGTATTGATATCCACTTTCTGTATTAAAGGCGGAAGTGAACCGTTTCCAGGATACCAAAAGACTCCTCCAAGATTATTACAGAGCAATGGAATCCAAAATCCCACTAGAAGACAATAAGAAATTTACTCGGGTCCCATTGATTCAGCTCGATAGTAAAGACATTTCAGAAAACCAGCTTAGGTAAGGCAGACCATTGTGTTACACTGTAATTTCTTTGAACATAGAGCAATGTGGTTTTTAAATTATAAATAATGTTTCTCTTAATGGAAACCCCAAAATGTTCTAAAAAGCTGAGCTTTTTTTTTTTCTAACTTTGATGTGACATTAGCTTGACGTGATATGATTATTTATCTTGTTAGCGGTGAATATGTACTCCTTTGGCTAAAGAGGTATAATCTGTTTCCTATGTCGCTTTTTGCAAGACTCTGCTGTGGATATTAGGCAGTATGTCACTTCCATATTCAGAAATACATTTAGCTCCAAAGACCTCTGGTGAGGGATTAGGAACTTAAATGAAAGAAAGAACTGGATTGTGTGTGTGTGTGTGTGTGTGTGTGTGTGTGTGTGTGTAGGTGTGTGTAGGTGTGTGTCTGTATGTCTGTGTCTATGCATGTGTCTCTGTGTGTATATCTGTATGTGTATGTGTGTCTGTGTGTGTATAAGAGAGAGAAGAAAGAGAGATTATGTAAATTAAAATGGAAGGGATCACCATCCTTTTACAGGTGAGGAAATTGAGAAATTGTAAAAGTCTAATAGTATATGAGCATGACCTTACCAGACTGAAAGATATTAATAATCTAACACCAGATTGTTGCCAACAGAAACAGGAACTTAGTGGTAGGGTAAAGACAAATTACATTTTTTTTAGCCAAATAAATCATCTGCAACAAAAATATAGTAAATTTCTTATAGATATAATAGATGAGTTCTGGGGAGGAAGGGCAATATCTCAGACTCTGAGATGTAAGATATGGAGAAAATGGCGTCTTGAAAGGGTAGGGCAAGGGGAAAGGTAGTGATCCCTGTGGTGTAGTTTCCAGCCATTAACCACTAAGATCTAATTTTACCTAATTTTATGTGTCTCAAAGCACTTGAAAACAGAATTTGAAATCATTTAGGAGTAAATGTGTTATTTGAAAATAAATTTAAAATTTAGGAAAACTTAAAACAGTATTTCCTAGTGATCATTAAGCAAAACACGAGAAAATAGAATAATCTTGGTATGAAGATGGAAGTGCAAGCAGAAGTTAGATTTACAAAATGGTATGCAGACACTGAATGTTGTGTTTTAACCTCCAAGCACATGAGTTATGTATTTTATATTTAAAGGAAGCCTCTTTGCCTAGATGTTTACTCAGTCAACATAGGTGTAGGAGCTGTGTAAGCAAAGTATAGCATAATGAATATACTTTGAAACCAGATTGGTCTAGTTTAAATCCTGAGTCTGTCACTTACTAACTGTATGTAAGTGGGTTAAGATAACTTGCCTGTCTGACAAGTCACTGCATCTCAATGTAAGCCTCAATTTTCATTCTTGTAAAAGCAAGGTTGTTGTGAAAATTTACAGAAAATAGAATCTGCAAAATATATGGGATCATGTCTGGAAACTGAAACACTTAAAATCTAGTCCTCAAACTGTTAATAAAGGGTGGTCTCTTTTGTTGTTGGATAATAGATAATAGTTTGCCCTTGCTTATATGCAATATTTTAATTGTGAGTATTACATGTTCTCACTTTGTTAATCCCTCTCTTGTTCCAAAAATAAATTAAGATGGCATTGCCACATAGGTTATGCAATGATCCAAAGCCCATTTCTTCACTCATATTCTTTCATCTGATGTTATATTTCTGTCAAGCCCATATATATACAAGAATACACAAAAGGGTGAGCATGCACCCTCTTCCTCTCCCACATAAAAGAAAAACATTGAACATGCTGCTAAGAAAACTTTGAAATTAGAACAATAATAAATACCAGAGGCAATAGGAACCATAAGAATCACCAAAAGAGACCAAGTTTCAGTGTCTAGAGTGGCAGTGCAATCTGTTCTTAGCACATAATGGCAAACCAGGCATAAGAGGGAAACTATTAATGTTGGTTAGTACAATAAGCCCACGGAAGAACAGGCAGTTCTTATTTTTTGCAGAGCAACTTTGTACCAATCTCAACCTCAAATCACTGCTGTGGCAAAACTGTTGAAACAATCAGTCAATCAATACACCAAGCCGCTCACCAACCAAATAACCACAGGCTGTAACATGTAGAAAGAAGGAAACACAGTGCTAAGCAGTTTTGCATAGTTCTTTTTACTTTATTCCTTCCAACAACCCTATAATACTGGTGGCCATATATTATTTTCAAAATAGTAGTTGTGTTAGTTGATAAAGAATTATTCATGAAAATAGTCATAATAATAATGTGTTTATATTATTCCAAGAAGTGAGGCTCAGAAATTCAAGCAGCATACCTAATTTCATATCTCCTGATAGTGACAGAACTGGCATTTTTCTTCCCAATAAATGAATTCTAAGCCCATTTTCATCAACAACTACCTATAATTTTAAAATAGAACTATTATATATTTACCTTTGTTCTCATTTCCTTATCCCCTTTCTGTTTGCATTGATTAAATTTGCTTGTAGACAATTTCACATGCTTGTAGTTCTGATTAGTATCACTCTCCACCTCTCTTATCTCCCTCACACAAAAGTCATTCTTTTCTCCCCATGAGTACAGAGACTCATGCCTGCTTAAGATGCTTAGAATAAATGAGCACTCAACCTGAAACATTACATTTGTACCATACCATCTAAGGCTCAGGGAATACTGCAGAAGGACTGAATGGAAAGGATATACAAGGCAGGAGATAGAGAGGGAGGGTAGAAATACCACCATCAGGATGGATATATATATATACATATAGATATAGATGATATAGATATAGATATATAATCTTGCCAATGCAAACAAAACCCACAGGAGCTGCAGTTGCCTGTACTGGGCCTGAAAAGAGACAAAGATGGATAGGATAGGCGCTCATAACATCTTATCTTTCTGCTGAACCATTGGCAACTGATGAACTCTCGGGGGGGTGGATAGTCATTGTCTTTAGCTGTGTGACAAACAGTAAGCCTCTTAAACTCCAGTGGATAATTCCAAACCTAGGGCCACACAAATAGATGATCCTGGTTTAAGTTAGTGGGTCATAAACCCAGTCTTCTTCTAAATGATATGCCATGACTGCTGTCCTGCAAAGCAAAGTGTTGTGCTGTGTGAAGTGTCTAGAGATGGTCACACACACACACACACACACACACACACACACACACACACACACACACTTCACGTGAACTTATTGGAACTTAAATGGCTTTGATTTAGCATTAATTGGATATTAAGATATAATTCAATGTGTAAGTACATTTTCAATGTATTGCCTTTATAGGTATGTTAGATCATCAGAATTCCAAGTGCTGAGTCATAGATACTGTTCTGCTGTGAGGATATTCCATGACCAAAGCAACTCTTGTAAAAAGAAAGCATTTAATTAGAAACTTGATTACAGTTTTAGAGGGTTAGTTGATGATCATCCTGGGGGGGAGCAGACAGGCATGGCACTGGAGCAGTAGCTGAGAGATTGATTGACACCCTGATCTGTAGGAAGCAAGGAGAAAGAGTGAAACACTGGGCCTGGCATGGGTTTTTGCAACCTCAAAGCCCACCTCCAGTGACTCACCTCCTCCAACAAAACCATACATACTCCAACAACCAAGGCCACAACTCCTAATCTTTCCCCAAACAGTTCAGCAGCTAAGGATTAAGCATTCAAATATATGAACCTATGGGGGTATTCTCATTCTAACCACTGCACACTGTGAAAATCAAAGTGTTAAGTTCAAGAAATCTCATCTTATGCTTCCAAACAAGAGCAAGCTAGTTGTTTTCTGGAGTTCATAATTATCTTTTTAAATCCCTGTTCCAAACCCCTGCTTCTTGCCTCTATAAAAACAAATGTTATGCCTTCTGTTGATCCTGACTCTCTTATTACAATTTCAACCAAGTCATCTTTGAAGTTACTCTTTTTCAATTCCTTCTCCAAACTTAAAGCCCTTTATATATATATTTTTTTTCACCAGAGGATGACCCCAATTACAATAAACACTCTACCCTAGGTCTCTCTTTGTACTTGAGTTAACCCCTGAGATGCTAGGATCAACGCTAGTATATTCTCAGAAATTGTTCTAAAATCTCCACTTAAGGAAGGAATACTCTTAAGAGAAGATGGAGAACAAGCTTCACTCTTAATGTTTTGCCACAGCGCTTGTTGAAGAGAAAACCCTCACTATCCATGAGTAAGAAAGGAGAGGACTTCTGAACCTTCACCTTGGCAACCACACAAACATCATCACGTCTGTTTAACAGCCACAGTCAGATTTGTGTTAGTCCAATTTTCATGTCAAGATGCCAAGTGATATTGACCATCTTGAATAAGTTTCATTAGGTTTACTTTTCCCATATTAATTTACCCTCATGAGAAGATGTACCCTGGAAATATGACCAAAAATATAGGACATTTTGGGGGTCTTTCTTCATAATCACTGTTATCCGATCTGCCTCTTTTAATTATTAAGAACTAAATCTGAAAAATGTCTTGTTGTTGCTTGCTGTGAGTTTTCTATTATTAGCAAGATTTTGTAGACCACATTAATGTGATTAATATAGCATTTTCCAATCATAGCCCTTCAAAATAATTCTTCCAGGAAAACTTTGGAAATATGAATTAAAGCAACACAACAAAAAGGTTCAAACTAACACTGTTATAAAAATAGAATTCTGTTCAATGAAAACCTTATGTTTCTTTGATTTGTTTTTTTTTTCCCCAAAGAATTCCTCTAGTTCCTCGAATATCCACTTCTCCCGAAAATGTTACCATCAAACCAAAGGTGAAAGCATTACTGAAGGGCAAGATTGATCCATCACTAGAAGGTTTGGAAGCTAACTTTGAGGTAGATGAGAAGATCGTAATAGACACTTGGCAGCAGGCTTCCATGGCCATCTCCCACATGGTAAGCAGTACCTACAGTTGCATTTCTTGTCAGTAACCTTACTGTTTAAGTGGCATGGTTGGTAACGTGGTACAAGTACAACATTTATATGATAGTCACAGTCATGGTATAAAAATGCATGGCTTTCAGGAATTACCATTAAAGGGATTATTGGGAAATTTTCTTCCCCTGAAAGAAATAGGAAGTTAAAAGATATAGTCAACAAGTCTTTAAAAATCATGAAAGAAGTCTGACAATACATAGATTCATTTTAGTGCGGGCTTAGGTTGCAAATGCAGAAGCCTACATGTCAAGAGAATGTTAAGGAGGAAGGGCAACTGGCAGATAAGACAGTATGAGAGGGTGTGATGGCGGCCCTAAGGAAACCACACCCGTGTTGACTGGGACATGTGCTACCCTGTGCTGGCCAACTTTGTCATCGAACAATGAGGTCCAGCATGGCCAGATTTTTATTTCCTAGAAAAAACAAAAAAAAAATTAACGTTTTGCTCTTGGTGGTGTTTTTTTATTTGTTTGTTTTTATTATGTGATACTACTGATTTTAGTTTCAGTGAGTGAAATACAATTCTTAGAAGTACTTTACAAAGTCATGAAAGAAAACACAAAGCCCAATTAGCCCATGGACTTCCCAACTCCAACCTGTCTGCTTGTTGTTTTCTCTAAATCACGATAGGGTAAGTATTATTATCTTTTTACAGTGGAGAACTAAAGTCTAGAAAGGTAGACAGCCTACTGCTTGGTTTCTGTTCTACCCACTTGGCTTTTATTTTCCTTTTGTGCCAAGCATTCTTTGATTTTACTGAAGTACACCATCTAATCAGAAAACAGTATCAACCTTCCCAAAGGTCTTTTGAAAGGCTTTGAAGCAGAGCCTGCATCATAATCTCACAGTAGGAGGTCCTCCTTAACTTCCCTTGGGGTTTTCTTTGACCTTACCACAAAACAACAAGGTCTATCTGCAATTTGGTTGACTCTTGCCTTATGTATATTTGAGACCATGAAACCAGGCCCATGGAAAAATTAAGATGAAAAACTTTTCTAGTGAATTGTACATCTTATTTGGGAATAATCTTTACTTACAATGAACTTTTTGGAAATTACACTTGGAGATTATTTACATATATTTGTCTTTCAGTATCTCTATTTAAAAAAACTTACAGTATCATCCACTTGTTAGTTTTTGCACCTCATAAGTCAGGATGTAATGTACTCAATTACTACTCTCTTGGTGCCCCCCCTGGAATCATGTAGTAAGTTATTAACCACATTTATTACTTAGACACTCCAGGTACTATTGTTAAAATGATTGCTAAGTGAATTATTTTGTATTATTTCCAAACAAAAATAAGGAAAATTAAATAATTTAAGATACTTAATATAAAAGGAGATCAAATGTGTGGAATAAATAGTAAAGAGCACATATCAAGATACCAGATTTAGATCCTAAATATGTGAACATTCATATTATATTTTTTAAAGATACAGATAAAAAGAATTACCGTTAGATTGTTTAAACAAACAAATGAACAAAGGACTAACTAGATGGCTTAGAGGGTAAAGGTACTTACTGCCAAGACTGAGAGCCTGAATTTGATCCTTCACACTTCCACAGTAGAAGAAAGAATTCACCCTATATATCATGTTTTAATTTCCACTATGGCACACACATATGCATGTTCACACACATAAACAAGCAAACAATAAATATATGTGAATGTAATATTTTTCCATTTTTAAATTGACAGTGTAATATATTTGTATAACGAACTTCAGTCATTTTCATCATCCAAGTCTCCTCCTTCATCCCTACTCCCTCTACTAGAACCAGCCTTCTTCTCAAAGAGTCTTCCTTCTAGCATCATCTCTTCCTTTTGTTTGTGGCCCAATTAGAGTGCAGTCTGAGGTAGTTGCCTGATTGTGGGTAAGGAGCTATTCAGTGGAGCAAGGGCTGCTTATCTGTGGCTACAGCAGTGAAGAAACTGACACCCTCCTGCAACAAGCCTCATGGGCCCCTCTCTCACCCACGATACAGCACTGACTGGCCCAATCCTGGGCAAATGTTGTGTAAAAAACCACAAATGCAATGGGTGCATGAATGCAATGAGTGTGTTGTTTCCAGAAGACATCATTTTTACTGCACATCTTCAGTTCTTCCAGTCTTTCTGCTTCCTCCTCTGTGAGGTTTCCTGAGCCTTCAAGAGGGATGTAATTCAAATGTATATGTAGATAGATAGATAGATAGATAGATAGATAGATAGATAGATAGATAGATAGATAGATAGGAAGAAAGGTAGAAAGAGATAGTTAGATAGATGATAGATAGATAGATAGATAGATAGATAGATAGATAGATAGGTAGATAGATAGATGGATAGATAGATAGATGATAGATAGATAATAGATAAATAGATAGATAGATAGATAGATAGATAGATAGATAGATAGATGATAGATAGATAGATAGATAGATAGATGATAGGTAGGTAGATAGATAGAAAGGAAGGAAGGAAGGAAAAAAGATAGGTAGAAGAGATAGTTAGATAGATGATAAATAGATAAGTAGATAGATAAATAAATAGATAGGAAGGAAGGAAGAAAGATAGGTAGAAAGAGATAGATAGATAGATAGATAGATAGATGATAGATAGGTAGATAGATAGATAGATAGATAGATAGATAGATAGATAGATAGATAGATAGATAGATAGATAGAAACAAACAGAGCATGATATGGCTGTCCCCAGTGCCACTACAGAACCCCAAACCTTGACTTAGAGGCCCAGAGACTCAGCCTTCCTGTGTCTTCCCCTCACTAACTCTTCAACCTTGTAACTGACTGGATCGGGTCTGTTCATTTTTTCCTGTACCATTGTAGTGCCATGTATAGTGTTCTTTGCCCTCCTAAAATGTGAACCTCCTACTTGTGCTTGCTTAGACCCTCTGGAGTTTTATTTGTCTGATTTTTGTTTGTTGTCCTTACATCTAGTTCCTGCCTTGATGGTTTTTATTTCTGAGTTTTGTTTCCTGAAGCCCCTGCCCTCTATGAACCTAAGTTCTTCCTATCTTGGTAGTTTCTAATGTTCCTCCCGGTGACTTGGCTCCTAGTATTCATCGTGTGTGTGTGTGTGTGTGCGTGTGCGTGTGTGTGTGTGTGTGTGTGTGTGTGATTGGTATGCATGTTCACATGTGTCAGTGTGGGTATGTGCCTGCTATAGTGCATGTATAGTGGTCAGAGGACAACATTGGGTGTCTCCCCACACTTCCCACTTCCTTTGCAACATAGTCTCTTTGTTGTTTGCCTCTGCCTCTTACACGGATGCATACCAGGCTAACCATCTCATGACCTTCAGGGGATTCTCCTGCTTCCACCTCTGATCCCGCTGCACGGAGACTACAGAGGGCCAACGCTGCATCCAGCTTCCTGTCCTTTTTACATATTCAAACTCGGGTCCTCACCCTTACTCAACAATCACCCTATCCACTCAGCCACTGTCCCACCCCTGCTTTGTGGTTTTTAATCCTGCTAGTGTTTTCCTGAATACTTAACTTGGTTCTACTACTCTTCATATACCTTGATCTCGTACAATGTCCACACCAACACAATCCTGAATTATCACTAAGTCCTGAGATGCTGCCGCAGCTGCTGCCCTGCTCACAACATTAAAGTCAATAAAAAGATGACAATAGTCATGATTACCACAAAAAAAATAAAAAAACCCAGGCACCAAGTCCCAGAGAGTGGAAAACAGGTACAGATTTACTAGGAAGATCATGGATTATTTACATTGTTTATTTACATTGTTAATAGATGTTCAGAAGCAGAAGGGGCAGGTAACACATAGTCCATTAAAATTACCCGGGGAAAATACTGCATTCTCAGAGAGATGAACATACAGCCAGAGTATTAGCTGCATCTCACAATTAAACATGGTCTTCTTTGTTTTCTTGGAAAATCTGTTAGTTCTCTAAGTCTTCAATTTCATCTCTGTAATTAAAAAAAAAATTCTCAGATGATTGAAAGAAATTCAGGGAAGTAATGTATATAAAAATGTTTTAGAAACTTTAAATAGAGTTCATTTGCTAGAAATGTACTTAAAATTATACATTTTCCCTTTGTACTTTGGAATGTCTCATAGCAAGTATAGGAAAAATAATCACTTAATATCATTATTATTATATATGATTCAAGAATTTTGTGTTGCAATAGACTTCTATAAATCTAATGTTATACAATTCAAAGCAGACAAAAAATAAAAGATAGTCGTGAGTTTAGCACCCAGACCTTTGGATGATTAAACAGTGCCTTGCTAGAAAACAAACACTTAAGGGAACTTTGAGTTCCAAATGAGACAGGTGTGACTCAGAAAATGGATGTAGGCAAACAGTTCCAAATGAGATTGGTGCAATTGGAATGAACTGCACTTTCATTCAGGCTTTTTCTAAGGGGCAATTTTACCGAAAGCTATTCATTTAGTGTGCTATGTTAATTTTTAGTAAAACTTTCTAATTGATAGGTATGTAATGATTTCAGAGAAGTCATATTTAACACCCACCATGTCCAAGCATTATGTTTCAAGTTCTTACCAGCTTTAGCAGCTACTTTAAAGAAAGTATTCTAAATTCTTCTAATTTTTAAAAGAGATCTGGAGGTCTTTGAGAGAAGTGGACAAGAAAAATGCTAAGGATAATCATTACTTTCATCATCATCATAGTCATCATCATCAACAACATCACAAGTTTGTTGCCAAAGATAAGTTTCCTTCCAATTTTAAAGGAAATTGCTAACTTACACTATTTTGTAAGAACAAATTAAAAAAAATTACTTGCAATTTAATGGGGGGTGTTAACAAGCAAGGTTTCAACTTTACCAAGAACATGAAAGTACAGTAGATAACATGAAATTCATGTTTATCAAAAGATCGTCTGGGGGTGTGGGGGAAGCAAGCCAACCAAACTGGCTTGTTCTGTATAGCTTTTCTGGATATCTCAAGTGCTAGTGCTCTTGACAGATCCTGCTGCAGCATCTTACAATTTTAAAATAAAAACCAATTAGTTAAGAAACATTGTCCTCCATAAGTACAGCACATGTACCTAAAGTTGTGGAGAGCACAAACAGGTCTGGGGGCATGAAAGCCCATTAGGGTGACAAGGCTTAACACCCACGGAATAGTTGGGGACAGCTACATTCTGGGCCATGAGCATAGAGTGTGTCAGGAGTCTGGAGAGGCAGAAACTTACTGGCCTTTTTGCAAACAAGATTGCAAATACCTTTGAGGGAAATATACCTTGTCCATATTTCCATACATCTCCTTTATTCCTCTTCATTTTCCTCATTCTATTAATCTCAGAAATCCTATCAGATCTGAACCTCACAAATGTTTATATAAATATGTATAGTCTTATTGATTCTCATTCCCTGACCTCCAAAATGCATATGTGTTTTATATAGTCCTTTGAGCTCTTTTTCTGAGTTCCCATAAATGATATTAACTGCTCCAATGTCAGATAAACTTAGTTCTTAGTTCTTAGTTCTATTATTTCTAAAAGCAGAAAGGACCTGAGTAGCACAGTCCTTAGATAGAGATTTTCTATAGCTAGATAGATAGAAAGATGGATAGCTAGGCAGACAGACAGAGACAGACAGAGGATATATAAATAGATTTTTATATGTAAATATATTCTTAAATTTTAAATTCGTAAACAGTTAATTGTATATATATATATGCTTATAATTTGATGTTTTGCTACTGATAGACTTCCATCTGACTAAAATATTTTACCCTTTAACATTTTTCTCTACACCCTATCCACCTTCAAACACTGATAACCACCATTCAACTCTACACTTCAATAAATTCAGTGTGTATGTGTGTGTGTGTGTGTGTGGTGTGGTGTGTGTGTGTGTGTGTGTGTGTGTGAGAGAGAGAGAGAGAGAGAGAGAGAGAGAGAGAGAGAGAGAGAGATTATATAGTATTTAATGTCCTATGTTTATTAATAATGTCTTCTGGGTTTATTTATGTAGTCCTGAGACAAGGCTTTCTATGATCTAAAGTTTATAGCAAATCTTAAAAGAGAGAGGAGGTGAAGAGGCCCTGTAAAGCTCTGTATCGCCTCAGTGTGAGGATGTCATTTCCCCATTCTGTGACCAGCATAGAGTGATAATATAGCCATAATCCAGACATTCATGAGAGTGAGAGAGGGATTAACTATAACAGAGACACTTGGAAAATCACTGTATAGAAGAAGCTAGAGACTATGAGGTCAGCCAGTGGCAAATATCATCTTCATAAACAATGAATCTTCTGGGAGGGTGTCCAGAAGTGGAATGGAAGTAGAAGATTGAAGTATTTATGATTCACTGATGTAGAACATGCATTCTCCAGAACTGGCTAGAGGGACATGAAAATTTTATCTATACTGCACAGACCTAAGATGTAAACAAACATGCTTTTGCAATATGACAACTTGATAGGACAATATTCAGTTAGGATTAAATTCTAAAATAAATAAATAAAATCTCCACAGAGGGTCAACTATGAAATAAAGTTTAAAGAAAATGTGCTGGTTATTTTTCTGTCAGTCTGACACAAGTTAGAGTCATCTGGAAAGGGGGAAAGCATCATTTTGGGAATTGTCTTTATCAGATTGTCCTGTAGACAAGCCTGTGGGAAATTTTCTTGATTAGTAATTGGTATGAGGTGGCATGGCCCAAGGCAGGTGGTCCTGGCTTAGTTAAGAAAGCAGGCTGAGCAAGGCATGGGGAGCAGAGTGGTAAGCAGTGTCCCCCTGGAGTTCCTGACTCTATGCCGGATGGAGATCCTGCTTTGCCTTTCATTAATGATGGATTGCCATTGGGAGGTGCAAACCAAATAAACCTTTTCCTCTCCAGGTTGCTCTTGGTCATGGTATTTATCACAGCAGTAGAAAGCAATCTAGAACAGAAATGGATATAGTCAAGAATGCTTTTCTTAGACTCCATGAGATAACAGGATCTTGGAAGATGATCCAATGCTAAATTCATAGAGGTGGTGTTAATCCCCCAGATTCAAGGAAAAAGATCACTGATCCAAATCATGGCCAAACTAATTAAAGCAAGCTTTTTTTTTTTATTTGTGTACACAGGCTGTCTCTCCCTAAGGTGAGGTTCAAGAGATCACCTTTGGACATGGGGAAGATGGAGGCTTTTATAGTTTCAGGAGTAGGGGGTTTCCAGATAGAAGATTTGGCAAAGAGACAAGGTTACAGAAGCACAGCATAGACATAGCAAGTCAGTCATAAGAACCTCCTGAAACAAAGACATGATTGCGAGGTGGTCATAACAAGGAGGCTATAACAACCTTTTGAAGCAGAGGCAAGGTTGACTTTCCTGGAATAGGCAGCACAGAACCATTTGTGGACAAGGTTACAGGTGGGGCATAGCCCAATCCTTGAGAAACAGATTTAATCGTAAACAGGAATGAAGTTAGTTTTTACAGTAAGATGGCTTTCAAGCCTAAGATGGAGGCAGGCTGGTTTATCAGTAGAGACAGAACTAAATGAACGTGTGCAAAACCCTACATTTGCCAGCTTAGAGTTCAAAATGAGTGCACATAAAAATGCATTGCTAGCCAGGCAATGGTGGTGAATGCCTGTAAATCCCAGCACTCAGGGGACAGAGGCAGGCAGATCTCTGTGAGTGCAAGGCCAGCCTGATCTACAAAGCAAGTTCCAGGACAGCCAGAGCTGTTACACAGAGAAACTGGGTCTCGAAAAAAACAAAAACAAAAACAAACAAACTGCATGGCCATCAGGGGACTAGCACTTGGGGCTAGATCAGCCAATCATAGAAAACTGTGTGCTTCTCAAAGGGCGACAACACTGGCCTCATTGTTCACAGAAGAATGAAGCTCCTATGAAATCTAAGTGAGTAAATCCAAGAGGTTAGCATATTTGCTGAACATTCTCCTAACTGAGATACCACTACCCTGACAGGTGGCTGCTGAAATCCATCAAAGGCACATAGAAGAAGAAAAAGAAACACCTCCAGTGGATTCCAAAGAAAAGTCTCCTCAGTCAGGTACAAATAAAAAAGCCAAGAAGGAGAAGGAGGCACCCAAGAAGAAAAAGGCAGAAAAGAAAGGAAAAGGTATTCATGGCACTGGGACCCGGTACCCAGGTCACTTCAAACCTCTTTGTAGTAAAGGAGCCTTTAACCAGGTGCATTCGCCTCTCAGCCGGGGTGCTAGTCATTGTTTTAAACTGTGGCTGCAGTTGGCAAACCGCTTTGCATATGAACACCACCTAATTCATTTAAGTGAATAGCAGATGTAAACAGCAGATGTATCTCAAAGGCAGCTTTAACCATATTAGCACTTGTGACCCAAAAAACTGGGCAGAGGGGGACTGATATCTATTACAGAAGTTAAAAGGCTCTGTGTTTACAGATCTCAGGGGCACTTGAATCTAAGCAAATTGTTCTCTATTCAAACACTCCTACCTAAACCTTTGCCTCAGACTCAAGAGAGAGAACAGGGAGAAAGCAGGCTGAGAGATATCTCCCACTGACCTTAAGCAACAACTCAAATGTCACCTTTCCCCTTAGTGTTCCCATGTGGACATTTTTTTATTTAATCTGAGGCAAGAAAGGAAGAGTAGAAAACACATGAGGAAAGTGTCTTCCACTGTATGCTTATTAAGCATCCACTGTGGGGGAAACACTTTGTGATGGATGTCAGTCACATTGTGTGTGTGTGGGGGAAGTACTGAGGATAAGTGGAGGGGTGGTGGTGACCCTTAAGCAAAGGGAAGAGACCATGCCACTTTAGTCCACCTCATATTCTAATAAGCAAAAGTTTTAGCATTTAAAAGGAACATTTTTGTTTAATGGAGTAGGTGACCAACTCCAATCTTTAATTATTCAGATGATAAAACAAATGCAGAGGTTAATCTCTCCTTCATTTGTAATCTAGACATGCATCTTTGAGTACAGCAAACAGACCCATCCACCCACAGTTCCTTACTTCTTTCTTCACATGGTTGGAGCCCCTTGTAATTATACCCTCAAGAGTGATTGTTGAACTGTGTAGAAATCAAGAACTGGGGCCTGACCTGAAATAGAATCACATTGCAATGGGTAGATCCCCAACAAACACCCACAAACTCTTAATTTCCAATCGGTTTATGGAGTCACTGAAATACTTGTAGATGGGCACAAATTAAAAGATAATTGATTTGGATACATATTCTTGAGCATTATTATATTTCAGCCATATCTTTTTGAAGTTACTTATTGGTCTTTTCTTGGAGAAAAAAAAAAACTTAGAACTACTTTCAGCTTTAAAAAAAAATGCTTTAAGAAGTGGTAATTCTGCAGTGACTAATTTATCATTTTTTAAAATTCTGTAATCACTTCTGCATTGCTACTCACTTTTTTTTCTTAAGATGAGACACAGCATGTTTTGTTAGGAATGAAGACCAGGAAGTTCACAGAATTCTCAGTGAAGGGTTGTAAATACTTGGTTACCCACTCCAGAGAGCCCAAAGTCGCTTGTTCCAAAATCTCCAGCAGTTTCGGAATGTACAGAAGTTGCTGTGTCATCAAATTATCCAAGCGCCGTGTCTATAAACTCATTGGTTGGTAATTCACTCACCACATTTCAGTGACCTTTCAGGTAAATCATCACCCGTGGCAGAAGTCAGTCCAATCACAATATCGCCTGAAGAGCTAGCCGAAATCGAAAAGAAGAATGAACTGAAGCTCAAGATTAAGGAAGAGCATCTGGCTGCCCTGCATTTGGAAGGTAAGAGGAGGAATCAAATAAGATCATGCTTTCAGTAGAGAGCAAACCAGTAGCCAAATAGCCCAGACAGGCCTCATCAGTATTCTCAGGCTGTTTCCTTGAGAAATCAAGCAGACATACTGAAAACACACCATTCACATGGTTGTTTTCATTTGACCACACGAGGACCGGCTATTGTGCTGTTGTATGAGTTAGATGAGTCTGTATTTAATTCAACCTAATTTATCTTACTTATTTATTGAGACAAGGTCTAGCTTTGAAGTTTGGCTTCAAACTTGCTATGTAGCACTCTCTGTTCTTGAAGTAACAGTTCTACTATGTCTGTCTCCTGAATGCAAAGATTACAATCATATACCACTGTGCCTAGCTCCCTAATTAATCTTGTTTAACTTATCAACAGGCTGTCAGAAATATTTAGGAAAGATAAAAAGATTGTTATTCAAATTTTAAAGACTGGAAAAAAATAAATAAATTGCAAGTTGGTATGGTTTTATGGGATTATGGTAGAAGCTGTCTAATATTGATGGTTTTATATTGCGAAAGAGTAAGTCACTTCTCTCATTAAGAAAATAAATCCTGTACTGCTCAGTGGTTAAGAGCCTTGACAGTTCTTCTAAGGGATTCAGATTAAATTCCTAGCACCCACATGGTGGTTCATAGCCATCTATAACTCCAGTTTCCAGAGGATCCAATGCGTTCTTCTGACCTCTGCTGGAACCAGGCACACACATGATGTACATACATATTAGGCAGGCAAAACACTCATACACATAAAGTTTAAAAAGTAAATAAATATTTAAAAAAGAAAAAGAAAAAAAGTCCTGGCCTAGTATGCTCTGAGAATGAGTTTCTAGGAACAAAGACCAGTCAAGAGCCTTCACATCTCCTCTAAGTTTTTTCCCCCTATACTTAGCAATGACTCTGCCTATTCTCCCATGGCTCTTCTGATTGTCTTTTAGTGCAATTCAGAATGGAATTTAGAATATCAGGACTTGAGCAAAGACAGTCTATGGAAAGGAATAACTGTCAATATCCCAGGTAACAAAACTGTAATGTAAGCCAGGGCACAGAGAAGCCACCAAAATGACCCATCCATTGTTGTGGGATATTACTTTATGCAAAGATGTATAACATTTGTTTATGTTGAGGAATATTACTTTAACTATGTAAAGGTGTGTTACATTTGTTTTTGCTGCATTTGTTTAACTATGTAAAGATGTATTGCTTTGTCTGCCTAAGGCGGCTGATGGGTCTAATAAAAAGTTGAATGGCCAATAGCTAAGCAGTAGATGGTTAGGTGCAGCTGGTGGGCAGAGACAATAAGTAGGAAGAAGACTATAGGCTCCAGGGAGAACCAGGGAGAAAGAGAGGGAGACACCAGCCAGACAGACACAGAGGAAGCAGCAAAGATGGACATACAGAATGAAAGAAAGGTAAAAAGCCCAGAGGCAAAACATAGATGAAGAGAAATAGGGTAATTTAAATTATAAGAGCTAGTGGGACAAACATAAGATAAGGCTGAGCATTCATAACCAATAATAAGTCTCCCTGTCATGATTTGGGGGCTGGCAGTCCGAGAAAGCCTGCTACAATCCATGGAGGAGAAGGTTTTTATTTTAGATATGAGAGAGGGATTAGCCAGAAGCCGTTGGGGGAAATCCAAAGCATCCATGACTACCACTCTGGGGCAGACTGGCAAGGGCCAGGGTGGGGGCAGGAAAAACACTTGTGGATTATAAAGAAAGCCCCACATAGCTCAGGATTGGGGACAGAATCCTGTGAACTAGACTAGCCTGGAAGTTTAGGGTGTTGGGGGAGGGGACTTGTGGCCCAGTGGCTTTGCTATACACCTCAGGTATGTACCAATAGGGAAGTGGCTTTTCTTAGCAGGCAGAAACCAGTTTCACAGGTCCCTGAGACATGATGAGAGGGAACTTCTGTCTTTCCACCAAAAATCCTCTCTTAGAGTGAGCTTGACCTGAGGCAAGCCTGTCATTTTGGACCAAGTCAGTAGACCTGCTCTCTTTGGGAATGCTTGGTGTTTGCCCCTTTGATCCTAACATATAATATGGCTGTGTTGAGCCAACTAGAAGGTTTTTCAGTAGGGGAACATTAAATAAGAATGTTTCCTAGCTCTTGTTTCTGTTTGTTATTCTCCCTTCACCCCTCTACCCACTCTACCATCTGTAAAGGAACGTTTCCAGTCCTGATGGCCTGTTCCCAAATACCCAGCAGCTGCTTCCAAATTACCACACAGAGGCTTGTATTAATTATAAATGCAAGCCGGGCAGTGGTAGCCCATGCCTTTAATCCCAGCACTTGGGAGGCAGAGGCAGGAGGATCTCTGTGAGTTCAAGACCAGCTTGGGATACAGAGTGAGTTCTAGGAAAGCTACACAGAGAAACCCTGTCTCAAAAAAACAAAACAAAAAAAAATGATAAATGCTCAGCCAATAGCTCAGGCGTGTTACTAACTAATTCTTACATTTAAATTAAATCATTTCTATTTATGTTTTGTCACATGGCTCATGGCTTGTTAGTTCATTTTCTACACATCCTGCTTGCTTGGTGGCTAGCCAGTATCTCTCTTGACTACGCCCTCCTTCCCATCATTCTCAATTTGGCTTTCCTGCCCAGCTACTGACCTGTCAGCTTTTTTATTAACCAATGAGAGTAATACATAATCACAGTGTAGAAAAGGATTGTTCCACAGAAACCACCACCTACTCCCATAATCCAGTGGGAAAATCAGAAATGACCTGAACCCAGGGAGCTGCAAGGCATTTGGAGAGTAGAACATATGTTTCTCTCTTCAGTCTGTCTTCACACGTGATTCCAGTGGCTTCCAGTATGCTTCATCTTTGAATTCACCCGACACAAGATCCTCAATGAGATTAAAAAAAAATTTTCCTCATGTTACAAAAATTATCAAGTTTTTCACTGCAGTCTGTGTCCTGTGGTAGTTCCTAAGACATATGTGCATATGCATGAGCTTAAAACAAACCAAAAAGCGTAATCAAGCTAGAAGAAAAGAGATATAAACTGTTGGAAATAGGCATATGGGACCAGATGGAGAGAAGAAAAGAGATATAAATGTTGGAAGTAGGCATATGGGACAAGATGGGGGGGCATCAAGGAAGACTCCCCAGAGGAACTAATGTTAGCTGAACTAGAAGAGTATGGGGAAATGTGCTCAGGAGACAAACCAGGGGCAGGAATAGAAAGCAGAGGTATGGGACAAAGCAAAGAGGCTATAAAAACTACTCAGTGAGTAGCTATGAAATGTAGGAGATAAGCCAGGAAGGAGTGACTTGGGGACTGGGAAGTCATATCATGGATTGTCCATCAGACCCTGCCTCAACAGCTAGAGATGTAAGATCCCTTCCCTGTAGATGCTGGGTGGTGATGACACCTGAGCAGAAGTGTGATCTCACTGACATCTGTCGGAAGGCAGATGGCTCTGGTGACTCTGAGCACTATGGAGGTGGATTTGGAATTGAAGTGGGGAAAGGAAGGGAGGGAAGACCCAGTTAAAGCTATGGCTTAAGAAAGAATCATTACGTGATCTTGTAGATATCAAACTTATTAAAGAGAGTATTGTTTAAAGAGCACTACTAAGTATAAAGCTCATGAATAATTTTAGTTTAAATTCACAAAGGACTTTACTGCACATTTCATTTTGCTTCTCTGAGATAGATGACACCTTACCTACATTGGTGTATTAAATGAAATTTCATAAACCAAAGTGTGATTGGTATAAGTAGATTTGGGTCATTATAAAAATGCATGATTATATAAAAACATTAAGGATTTCACTTTCTCTTTTATTTATTGGTATATATTGACTTTACAAAACAAGAGGTTTCATTATGATCTTTTTATACATGCATATACCACCATTTGATCATACCCATCCCTCATCACTCTTGACTGCCCTGTCCCTAGTATACTTCCTCTTTCTAAATAGTCTCCGTTCTCCTTCCACGCCTTTTAAAAATACATATTCCATATGAATAAGAAAGCATACTACTTGTCTTTCTGAGTTCAGTTTATTTAGTTTACCAATTTCTCTTTTTAAATAGAAGTAGCCACGCAGTTTCGTCTGGAACTAATAAAGACAAAAGCTTTGGCTGTCCTTGAAGAGTTAGTGACAAAGGTGGTTGATGTCTACAAGTTCATGGAAAAGTGGCTTGGCCAGAGGTATTTAAATGAGATGGCCAGGTAAGTAAAGTTCTCCAACAGCTAAAAATACCAAAAAACAAAAAAACATACTAAATGCCAGAAATGAAAAAATTAGTAAGGGTGTTTAAGATATCCACAGATTTAAATTATATGAAGTGTGTGTGTGTGTGTGTGTGTGTGTGTGTGAAGTTTAAGCTTCAGGCACTCCTATTATAAACACTCAAAATGAATGTCACCATCACATTTGTTTTGACTATTTTCTGGCAGTAAATTGTGCATCCGAGGGCTCTGTTGTGATCACATTCATTTTTGAGTTCAGTTTTAGCTCACTTCAATGGGAGCTTTAGTCTGCAAGGTGATATTCAGATCATTTTAATTCAGGAGACTGGGATTCCCAAATTATCTGGAAGTGAGTACCAAGTCTGATTGCTTGGGGCTCATCAGCTTTGTCTACAAAAAGGACTCCAGCTAGGCTACTGCACCAGTTTCAGCTTTACCTAGATCCTAATATATATGTGTGTGTGTATACATACATGTATATATACACACAAGGGTAGATTGTAAACATTGAGAAGTTTGCAGTTGTGTGAGAATGGGCATCCAGTGGCAAATGCTCTCAGAAGCAGAAATTACTATTTGTAAACAGCTTTTGTGTCTCTCATCATGGAAATTTTACTGTTAAAGCCTTCAGCCCAGTTGTCCGGTGCTGTTTTTCCACCACAGAAAGAAGGAAATTGAAAACTATCCAAACACACTCATCCCCATAGGGTAATCTTGCTACCATTATCAGCCAAGTCGCTTACTATTAGCGTTAGTGATATTTGGTCCTAGTCCGTGCCTGCCACAATTCATCTGAGTACTTAGGGATTCACAGCTGGCATCCATGTGTCTGTGCATCAAGTGTAATGTATATTAATTCTGTGTGATACACTTCCAGTTTTCATATTTGTTTTGTGTATATCTACTTCTGAATCTAAATAAGGTATGTCGTCTGACAACAAGAAATCACAAAACATGAAATTAAGAAGTGCTTCTGATGAGAGGGAGAGAGAGAGAGAGAGAGAGAGAGAGAGAGAGAGAGAGGAGAGAGAGAGAGAGAGAGAGAGGAGTGCATTACTGTCAAATCCCTTAGAACCCCAAATCTATTTTCCTGGCATTTTCTTTCTTCTGTATTAAAATCACTCACAGTAACCTTCCACTAGGTGGTGCACAGCCATTTGATATTCTGGTCTGGCCAAGTTTCAACCTGTGTAGGGAGACACCCTTTATTTACATAAACTCAAATTCTATGTGATACTCTTCTTGTGTGTCTCCAAGTACCAGAAGACTCTGAACCACAATCTAATTAGCAAATACTGTATGGATATTTACAATGAGCATTAGGAGTAGTTGAATTCAAGAGCATCTTTTCAAGGACAGGAACTTTAAAACATTTTTTAAAGTTTCAGTATATAAATATTTTTTTTTGCTCATATAAAACCAGAATAGGCATGTATTACCTTGTGATGTTCAATTCCAATCTTTCATTATAGAAGATAAGATCTTCTTTTCATTACAGTGGTGGTACATTTAGTTATGTCTAATACCTAAGACACCTTTAAATTGCATTCCATTAGGCCATTAACTATTAACTGACTTTTTATATCCATGATCTGTGTGGTTTCATGTAAATCATCCTAAAAGAAGATGTAAATAGTAATGACTTTACATAAAACTGAACTATATTAGCTACTTTATAAAGATGTGTTTTGTTTTTTAGCTTTATTAATTTGTACCTTGCCTAGGATAAATTAAAAGCTTTAAATACCTATAAAACCATCTAACTTACCATGCAAAGTGTTAGCTTTTGTGTGTGTTTTATTAAATTAACTATTAATCTAATAATAATTTCAATGGAGATCACTCTATTCATTTTGCTATTTTTAGTATAGAGAAATTGACTGAAGTAGCTCGCTACTACATTGAAACGGCTACAAAAATTCAAAATGAGATTTATTTAGGCCAAGAAGATTTCTACATCAATGGAGACATAAAAGTCTTCCCAGATGCTATCCCACCAACCCGCCCTCCACCAGTAGAAAAGGAAGAAAATGGGACCCTGACAATCGAACAACTGGACAATCTCCGAGATCAGTTCTTAGATATGGCACCTAAAGGTAAGAAAAGAATCACCACTGATGGGACACAAGGTGACTAAAATTGCCTGTGGTGGCTATCACTTTGCCAGAAGGAAGACCAGTGAGCTCGTTGGAGTACATGGCACCGCAAGGAGATGCTACTCTGTTCTAGGTTGTCAAATATTTGCTATAAGTGACATTCATCTGAATTAAACAAGCAGGAGAGTTGCACTGACCGACATTGCAGCAGTGTGGGAGTGTGGCAGTGGTCATCCCTGGCAACTCTTTTCTCCTGGCTTCCTCTTCTCTTAGAGACACACTGGTGAGCTTGACTCCATTTGACATATGGAAGATAATCTTTGTGAACATTTCTAAGTAGAGATGTATTGGAAAAGCTGAGTTTGTGTTTCTGTCTAGCCAGTGAGGGGATACTAGGAAGTGAAGGATGTCCTTCTTAGAACGGCCTTCTCCTTCAGTGCCTCATAGATCTTGTGTGGAAAAAATGAGTTACTGGTAGATACTTGCCTAATTAATTTATTCACACAAATGCTTACGTTATTTTCTTTGCACACATTCTTGAATCCATTCATATTTTATCATTACAGTTGTATGCCTTCTGCAGTGAGTCCCGCCAATTAATATCCTATGTAATTCAGACTGAGGTATGTGTAGGATCACCATCTATAATCTTTGGGATCAAACACTCAGTCACAGAACAGTTAAGCAGTGTGTCTATGGCCATATAAATTTTGGACTCTGCTACTCAAGTTTCCTTCATCTTATGTGTGAACTAAGTTGTCTTTCATTAATAGGTTTATTTTACTTTCCCCAAAAGTCCTAATTATCTGGAAACCATCCCTCCTCCACAGAGACAGTCAGTGGGCTTTAATATAAACACAGTCTCACTTTTTGAAAATTAGTCCCAGTATTTTCAGAAATCCATAGGAAATATCATTGATAACAACAGTAATAACTCACTCTATAGGTTTCCTTGCAATGGTCAATGGGTATCAAGGTGTACATATGTTTGCTTGTGTGAACACATGCACTGACATGTGTCAGCTTAGTCTTTATGCCTCCGATGCATAAAAAAATATAATGTCTAAGGATAGACATGATGGTAACATTTGAACAAGATTAATGTGGACAGCAGCAGGTACCAAAAAAATCCAACTTTGTCAAAAGCCAACTTAGAAATCCTGTTACCGTCTAACAAGGCAGAGTCCATCCTTTTCCCCCTTAAATGAATTTTGCAATGCCTTTTAAATTTTTATTTTAGTGTGTGTGTGTGTGTGTGTGTGTGTGTGTGTGTGTGTGTGTGTGTATGTGTGTATGCCTGCATGCAGTGTGTGTACCTACACCATGTACATGCCTGGTGCTTGTGGAGGTCAGAGACAGGTATCAGAAGCCCTGGAACTATGGCTAACAGGTAGTTGTGAGCTGTTGTGGATACTGAGAAATAAATTTAGGTCCTTGAGGTAAGTGTCATTTCTCCAGCCCCTACAATGCCCTTTTATCGCATCATTTCATTTTGAAATTGCAGTAGCTATTCATTTTGTGCAGATGAATTTCTAAACAGTCTTCTTATTAAATAAGAAACATAAAGTCAAATACAGAGATAGTAGCCAAAGAGATCAGAGCAATAGCCACAACTAGCTTTAGCTTACCACCAGCAGTAGCTTTCACAGATAGAGCTTCTTCCCATCTAACCCATGTTTTTATTGCCTTCCTGTTCTCCCTTCTCATTGGCTCTAAGCCCAGCCACATGACTTCCTCGTCACTGTCTGTTTATACAGACCTCCAGGTCTCTATGGTTGGTACTGGGATTAAAGGCTCATGTCACCATGCTTGACTGTGTCCTTGACCACACAGAGACTCTGCCTGCCATGTGATCAGATTAAGGGCATGTGCTACCACTGCCTGACTTCTGTTTTATGGCTATTTGACCTCTGATCTCCAGGCAACTTTATTTATTAACATACAAATAAAATACCACATTTCAGCACAAATAAAATATCACCACAGTTTTGTCCATGCTATATTTTTTTACATGCAAAGTAAATGTGACTGAGAGGAAACTATACAATTAGTGGGCTAACAAAAAGAATTTAGAGGCATTTGAGTAGGTGGAAGTACTTTTGAAAATTATAAGTCATTCTTAATTATTTCTAAAGGGAGCCTAGTATTTATGGTGAATATCATTATACATTCTTCAATATAGCCTCAAAGTCAAAGATTACATCCCAGCTAAGAGTTTAAAATAGCAAGTGGCATTTGACAACCTGACACACACACATACCTCAACACATAAACTCTAGAAACATTGAAATAAAAGTATGTCCACAGATACAATTTATCCTTTTTCTGAATATACTAAATAGGGTAGAACCATTTTCAGACAATGCTGAAACAACAAGAGTGATGTCTTGGTCACTGTTCCATTGCTGGGAAGAGACACCGTGTCATTGGCAACACTTATAAAAGAAAGCATTGAATTGGGGTTTGTTTAGAGTTTCAGAGATTTCGTTCTTTATCATCATGACAGGGACCATGGCAGAACTCAGGCAGACGTAGTGCTAGAGAAGTAGCTGAGAGCTCTGCATCTGGACACCCAGGCACCAGAAAGAGAGTGATACTGGGCTTAGCTTGTGCTTTTGAAACCTCAAAGCCCACCCCCAATGACACACTTCCTCTAAACAAGGCCTCATCTCTCAATCCTTCTCAAGTAGTGCCACTCACTGCGGACTAAGCATTCAAATATATGAGTTTATAAGGTCTTTTTTTATTCAAACCACCACAAGAGAATTGATAGGGAAAGAGGAAAGTAAGTAATAGCTAAATTTTCTTTAAACATAATTAAAAGAAAACCATTTGCTATGGTAGAGTTAGGGTGTGACTTGAAAAGACAGACCAAGAAAAGTATAATATAAAGCAGTAAGTTAATTATGAGACAGAATATGAAATTTAGGAAAGTGCCCATAAATGCAAAGTAAGGGAGAATTGGTGTGTAGTGATCAAGGGGGGAAATATGGTGAAAAAGATTAGCAAATCTAAGGCATCATGGAGTGACAGGGATGCAGAGGGTATTTAAATTTGGAAGAATAAACTTTAAAAAGTGTATATCAAAGAGTAGAGGGGGATGAATGTTGAAGGAATTGTCAAGAGACTGACCTACTGTATTTCCTTCCCCACTTGTATGAAAACTGCAGGGAAACAGATGGTGGGTCTTTATCAGAGGAGTGCCCCCAACACACTCTGCTGGAGAACTAACCCACACATGGATATGTTGTCATTTAGACAGAAGGTACAGAGCTGTCTATAAGATGTGGGGTTTTTGATGATTCAAAGTTAGTTATGGTCTAACTTTGATCATATTATGAGCAAACAATACTCCAGTTGAAAAGAATATGGGTTCTGTATGTTTATTTTAGATATGTGCTAAATACTTAACCATAGTTTTGGTGTCTCCTCAGCAGAAGTAATGTTCATTGTCATTGCTCTTGCTGTTGATTGCCTAAACATGGCCTGTACAAGACCACTCCAGCCAACACAGCTGTATAGATGGGGAAAGGCTCGAAAGGCTCCACCCCTAGCTGAGGAGCTATAGCCTGAGGCTACTGAAAGGGGAGTATGTTTTCTTCAAGTCAAGCCCTCTCATAATCCATGCCAAAATGATTAGCCATATTCATGTGCATTTGAGCAATACCAACTGCATTTATCATAAATGTGTGTATATTTATTTATATATGTATATATAAATACATACACACATATATATATGTATTTCTTCTCATACATATATATGTATATATATAATACATATATTACATGAGAAGAGTACATGTATTTAAGAGGCAGATGTAAGTGGGAGGAGTTCTTAAATAAACATATGGAGTATTTATTTAAAGGCAAAGACTCTCCAGATGCTGTGATTCCAAGCACCAAAAAGCAGAAAAAGTCACGAAAGCTTGACTACTACCTACCAGAAAGAAATCATCAGTTTTTGAAAATTTGGCTAAAAAAATACCCCTGGCTTGTATATGATGAGCTATTAAACCTTATGTTCTGCGCCCTGTGTCGTAAGCATGGAGTAAAGTCGGGGGGAAGTCAAGTGAGTTTTTTCTATGGCACGGACAACTTCAAGGCTGAATTTCTCAGTGCGCATCACCTCAGTGAAGCCCATGCCAAGGCATCCCTGATGGAAGCAACAAGTGGTTCTCCCGTGAACAGGGCTGCCACTGAGCTGATGGTAAGGACCATGAGCAAAGTGACTCTTGGGAGAGTAGAGAACTTATTTAGATCATGCCATGCTCTAGCAAAGACCGGACGTCCCCTCAAAGACTTTATTTGGATGTGTAAGTTGGATGATATGAAGGGTGTTGATATAGGCCCAGTCTTCAGAACTAATAAGTCAGCAAGAACATTTACATATTTCATTGCCGAAGTAGAAAGAAAAAATCTAAGAGAAAAGCTAGAAAAAAGTAAATTTTTCTCTGTTATCACTGATGGAATTGCAGACAGTTTTACTGAAGAAGTCACAATGGTCTATGTTCAATTTGCACATTCAGGAAAAGTGCAATGTCAGATTGTTGGGGTACAGTCAGTAGAACAGAAGGACCCTTTGACAATGAAAACTGTTATTGAGAAAACTCTAGAGACGAACCTTCAACTTAGGCTGTCAAGTCAAGACTGGGCGAAGAAGTTGGTTGGTTTTGGAAGCGATCATTCCGCTGGAATAGAGGGAGAGAACAGAGTGGCCCTGCTTTTGAGAAAAATACAGCCATGTGTGCAAAGTGTGTATTGCTTTGCACATCACCTAGAACTGTCTTACAAAGCTGTGTTCCAGAGTATCCCTCTGTTCAACAACCTCGAGGAACTCCTTACCAATATTTACCACTTCTATCACCACTCTCCTCTCCTGAAGAATTCTCTGATAACTGCCTTCAGAGGCCTCCACCTTCGACCAGTGATGCCTTCTCAAATAGGAGGCAGACCGTGGCTTTATGGACTGCAGGCTGCCCTCCAGAACTTTCTAAAAGGATACCCAGCAATTGTTCAGCAACTGCAATCAGTAAGTAATTTTGAAATATGTTTTCCGGAACATCAAGAAATAATTTTACTGAATTCTTTGGAGTAAGGTTTTTGAGATGGAGATGTACCCACCATATCATTCCCAACTTGTATTACAGGCAGAAAAAGGCAAAAATGATACCAATCAACAGAAAGCTAATGAACTTCTAGATCTTGTTCTCCAAGCTGATATCATCAAATTTGCTCATTTCTTGATGGACATCATTAGTGTCCTTAGTGTTCTGTCCCGTGCCAGTCAGAACAGAAATTCTTCAATTGCAGATGTATTTGCTACCTTGGAGTCAACACTGGAATTGCTCCAGATATATCAATCAAGGTGACAGGTTGAGAACATCAGAGGGTCTGTCAAGGTAGACAGATTGACTTGGGGAATTGCTTTCCAGGTATGCACCCATTTAATTCTTTATTTGGGTGATCTTCTCCCAGACCAGGGCCAAAAGAACGCAGGGTGGATTCAGCCACACACTTTCACGGTAACTGCCTCAAGGGGAAAGTAAACATATCTACTGTGAGAAAGGTGGTTTTAACACGTCTTATCAAGAGGCTGCAAGACTGCTTCAGAGATGCCAGCCTAGATGTGGTAAGAGCAACCATGATTGGAAGCTTTAAACTATGGCCCACAAAGATAAATCCAGGTAACCCACAGGCACCAATAACACTGAATTCACTATTCTTTGATTGCATGATGTTAATTTGGGTATGTGACATTTTTGTTATCTGTATGGATTGCAGAATTTGGAGAAAAAGAGATATCCATCCTGATTTCACATTATGAACCAGTTCTAGAAGCTGCCAGTGTGAAAACTGATGAAGTGGACACAGAATGGAGCATGTTAAAATTAGAAATATATGCCAGGTGAATAAGAAAGCAAACTGAATAAAGCGACATGTATCAGTAGCTGGGTGAAAGTTAGGTCTCTCAATCTTTTTTGTCCTTCATCTTGCCTCCTAGATTTCAGAACATTCGGAAGCTGACCTGGGATTTTGTAAACTCCATTTACTCACATAAGTATCCAAATATCCTAACACTTGTTGACTTAGTTCTGGCCCTCCCTGCAAGTTCAGCAGAACCAGAACGCGGATGTAGTCAGATGAAACGCTCGCACTCATGCATGGATGAGAAAATCAAGGCTGAAAGCTTGACAGACATCCTAATCATCCAGCTGAACTCTCCAGACATCAGCAGCTTTGACCCTAGGAAAGCTATACATTTATGGACTACAAGAACACAATCATCAGTTGCCCATGTGGGACCCAATCTGGACAGCTCATCAAACTCAGAAAGCCAAGATGAAAGTGATGAGTGATGGGACTTATGTTGACTTTGTTACTGGTCACAGCAAAAACAAATAAATAACTTTCAAAAAACTTAAAGCAAAGTAACAGTCAGTCTTTACCTCGGACACAAAAGACACTTGATATTTTCTAAATATACAGAGGTACAAAGAAAAAAATCCAGACTTGTTTTTCTGTCACTTTCTGACTTTGCTTCTGTGTTGGAATGGTTTTTGTTTCAATTCTGTGGTGAAGGCTGATACTTCTAAGCACTATTTCAATATTATCTTTCTGAGCATTTTCTCTAAGGGTGAGCAGACTGATGATCTTAGTTATCTCAGACTTGCCATACAACTGACTCTTGTTCCTGGATAGTTCTAAACTCTAATTGCAGTGAGTAACTAACCAGGCCAAACTGATAGAATTTTTTAAAAATTTATCTCCAAAAAAAATTTGTCATTGAAACTGTTATCAATGGTATATGAAAGTATTATATGCCTAAATGCCTTGGACAGCTTAGTAAGAAGGTTAAATGTTAAAGTGATTTTCACATTTGACACTAAGATCTCCAGGTAAACAATTCCTATGTAAACTGAAAATATCATTTTGCAACATTTATTTCCTAATGTTGACATTAGAACATATTGTATAGTTACCAGAATTGTATGTGCTTTGATTCTCTTTGCAGTTTTAATAGATTTTATTTGTGGTTCTAACATCTTAAAGGACATGGCTAATTTATTTATATAATCTGAAACTTGCGTCATCATATAAACTTTTATTTCCAGGGAAATTTTTACCCAGGGAAATGTTCTCATGACTAATATTAGATGTTTCAGTGAAACTAAAATAATATAAAAATCATCTCAGAATTGCCTTCGAATGGTTAATTATACCAAAAGACTGAGAGTGAACTCTCGACATTCATCATATTACCTTACAGATCTTGGAATTGTGCATGTGGTTAGAATCACTGACATTTTAAAGGGATAACTGCATTTCCCTAGAAGTTAGAAGAAACAGTGAGGTTCAAGTGGACTTACAGATATAATGAAAACTCAGATGTAAAAGGACACATTAGAATTCTATGTCTAATTCACCTTTGTTATTCCTGAAAAAAGAACAGCTCTATACAGTGTACCTGCCAAATACCTGGATATATGTAACTGGTCTCCCATAATTCTAGAAGGTACCTTTGCTCTGTGTGTTAGCTAAATGTATTTGTTGTTGTTGTTATTTAAGTTTATTTATTCTGTTTCTCTATTTCTAGTGCATGTGCATGCAACTTAGAATAAGAATTAAAGGAGCTGTGTCTTGTAGATATGCCAACATAGATTAGTGGACAAGAGAGCAAGGCAGTTGGATATTTAGTGGCATTTTATGTTTATTTAGAACCTGCAATCTCATTGAATTCAATTCAATAGATTGAATCACCCTGCAGTTACAAAAGCAAGCAATTGCTAACTGGAGGACAGATGGGAGATGGATGCTACCTTCTTTATGATTGCCATCTTGTTTGTATGTGTTCAAAATATGAAATGTTTTACCTCTGTGTTTTACTGGGTATAGCAAAATTTAGCATGCCTCTTAAAAATTCAACCCGCTTGAAACAAAATATTAAAGAAGATTTAATTTCAGAATTATGCAATTTCAATATTTTCTCAATCAGAAATGTCTTTTTGTTTGTTTGTTTTGTTTTTTTTTTTTTTTTTGGTTTTGTTTTGTTTTTTTCCTAAACCAAAGAGGACTCTTTGGAGAGATAACAAGAACATCAGAGTTTTGCTTTTGTTTTTTAATGTTTTTAAAGTAACTTCTTTCTAAAGTAATGGTTGCAGTGCTAAATAATTAAGAAAGTCAATAAATAAATGTTTCCTTGTGTTGTAGGCATCATAGGAAATAAAGCATTCACTGACATTCTGTTTGATTTGGTGACCCTGAACTTTGGAACCAACAACTTTCCTAGTAGCTGGATGCACCTCACCCAACCTGATGTGAGCTTCTGCTTTGTTTGGGATATAAAAGGCTTTCATACTGGTCTTACTTGATCAGTCAATAGTTGTAAGAGAACTAGTGCTTACCCAGCTAGTGGAACTAGCAAGAAATCCATGAAATTCAAATGAGTAGATGAATTTGAAAGTAAGACATATAATTGATGACCAAACGCTGAACTATTTCAGAAACTAAGATAGTCACCTAAATTGCTATCAATTTGCAACTCTCTTAACAAGTAACAGTAGATGATTTTGAGAGTCCTTGTTTCTCACCGTAATCTCATAAATGCCCTAGGAAATACAATAGTTACAGTGCACTACCGTGTTAGTATGTTACATTCCCAGTCTTTAACCTTCCACTGGTGAAAAGACACAAGGTTAACTGAAATCCCATGAGTAAATTGAATGAATCATAGTAAACAAACACCGTAAATGTCAAGACAGCTAAAAAGAAATAAAATCCTTTCTGGTTATTAGCTGATGTGGATCGGTTGTTAGAACAGAAAATGAAAGTAAACCTGAGCTAGAACTGGTTCCGCTTGCCAATGCAAAACCCTCTTTCCTTAGAACCAAACTCTGAAAGCCTTAGTGGGAGGAGCTTCAAGTTAGTCACACAAACACTCCAGTAAGATTCCCTGTGTTCTTCCAGTTGCAGGAGATAACATCGTTATTAACAGTAAACTCAGAATTTGTGGACTGGAGGAAGTTCTTGATGGTCACAGCAATGCCATGGCCAATGCCCCTTGAGGAGGAGCTCCTGGAGACCCTGCAGAGGTTTAAGTACATGGATGAAACACAGACAGGCACCATCACTTTCGAACAGTATAAGCAGGTATCCAGTAATACTGAAACCCTTTGTCCTAACAAGGATCCATCTCACTGATGACACATCACATTTCAGATCACTGTTGTGCTCCTTAGAAGCTCAGGTGCCGCCAGCACAAACAGAGTCAAGGTCCTAGGCAAGAGTGTGGCTTCCATCCTCAGGGAAAGCATCAGAAAAAAATAAAAATAATAAATCCAAAATTTTCTGGAGAGCCAAGAATCCTTAATAAAGTCATGAAAGCTTCACTATTCTTCTCCTGAGTTCTCAACCAGTAGTTAATTGCCTATGGATGTAAATTAAAACCACATGCAGGGCTTTCAATAATCCCACTGTCCAGTACCCTATACCCCCAAGAATAGCAAGAACAGTGGCAAAGAACATGGAGGCTGAAGGATGTTTGCTCCTTTCCTTTGGGATGAAGAACCTAGTGGATGATGGGACTTGGTTTGACAGATTGAGGTTAAAATGTCCATGACTATGCAGGCAGAAATTTCCCATCCGATACAGCAGGTCAAGAGGCAGTGCTAAGTCACTGCTATAGAAATGGATGTTGAAAACAGGAACAGATGAAATCACCTAAGGGAAGTGATGGGTAACTCACAACACAGCACCTGCTCTTTGTAACTGGTGGCTTGGTATAGAGCAGGATTGCTGGGAGTTTTAAAACAGAAGCCAGATTACAAATGATTGAAGAAAATAATTGGTCATTAGGATGATAAATAGCGATAGATAGATAGATAGATAGATAGATAGATAGATAGATAGATAGATAGATAGATAGAAGTTCTTCTAGTCATCAGGTCAGATATATGAACATTTAATCCATCTTTTTTAAAATTTGCATGTTGTGATTGGTGATAGAATGCTATAAATGACGGGGGTGCCTGAACTGCTTGTTTTGACTCTACTTACTAACTGAATGTAACTTGTCCACTATTCCATATCATGAGAGACAACAAAGGAAGGAGTCACTTATAATAAGGCCTTAACTTTGAAGCAGGGTGCTGATCTGTAGAGAATTTTCTCCCGAGTGTGTGTGTGTGTGTGTGTGTGTGTGTGTGTGTGT